GGGGCCCCGCCGAGCCTTTGACGTGGCTGCAGACGTTGCCGAGGGAACCGCGTGTTTACGCAGCGCGCGGGGCGGGACGCCAGCCCAGGACCCTCAGGCTGCCGCCCGCGACACTGCCCTCCCCGAGGCTACCCGGCCGGGGGCGGGGGGGGGGTGGCTTGAGCTTCGAAGAGCGTCAGGCCGACCTCCTCGGGGACCACTGCTCGGCCAGACAAAGCGGGACCTGCCCGGATTCAACAAGGGTACACTCTAGCTCTCCCTTGTAGGGCACATATGCCCTGCGGGGAGGTCTTTGTTGGGGAGAGGCGAGGGGGGCACTGTGCTTCCTATGGGTGTATGCATGCTGGAAAGGAATCTAGAACCAGAAGTGAAAAGTCCAGAAAGTACATCCAGACATCTTAAACTTGAGGGGCAGACTAAGTTTGAGAACCACTTGTTCTCAAACTTGAGCAAACATCACCCAGAGGGCATGTTAAAACACAAGGTACTAGACCTTAACTCCAGAGTTTCAGATTACTAGGTCTAGGGTAGTGCCCAAGGATTTCTATTTCTCAGGAGTTCGCAGGTGGTGATGGTGATGCAGGTCCCAAGACCTCACATTGAGAACCACTGATGTGGAGATGTTGATAAAATGCAGATTCCCTGGTTGACGCCCAGAATTACTGAGGATGGGCCTATGAATCAAAACCCCATAGGTGATTCTGATACCAGGTGTTCCAAGAGCTGGGCTATGAATCTTAACACAACGTTACCTCATTTTCAAGGGCCTGGACCTCAGGTTCATAACTGGCTAACAAATATGGGGTGGGGAAGAGAATTTGGTTCCTTGTCCTGCTAGCAGCCGTCCTCTATTCTCAGGAATGAGGTGTGTTTTGAGTCTAAGGTGCTGCCAGTCTGGTAATCACAGTTGCAGCTCCAGGTGTCTGTTTGGGAGATATGGGCACAGGAAAGGCATGACTGCCTGGGGAAGCTGCCTCGAGTTTCTGGGCATGCCCTTTAGTGGGGAAAGGTGTGATGAACCCTCAGGTTAACCCTGGGCTCTTCTGTAAAGAGTTCACAGAGTGTAGACCCTGGGCCAACAGCAGCAACGTCCCTTAGGAACTTTTGGAGCTATAAAATTCTAAGGTCCTATCCCAGACCTACTGAATCCGAAACTCTGGTGGTGGAGCCCAGCCACTCATGTGCTAATAAAGCCCTCCAGGTGATTCTGATGTACAGTGAAGTTTGAGAAACACTGCTCTAAAGAATGGCTACATTTGTAGGTCATAGAATCAATGTTATTAGTACTTAGAGTGCTTATTTCATTGAGGAAATTTACAGTATAAAGGGAATATTTAAAGTGATAAACCAAGACTGAGTTTCTCAGCCTCAGCAATATGGAAATTCTGGGCCAGATATTTCTTTGTTGCAGGGGCTGTCCTGTACTTTGTAAGATGTTTAGCAGCATTCCTAGCCTCTGCTCATGAGATGCCAGTAGCACCTCTTCTGGTTGTAACAACTAAAAATGTCTCCAGATACCACCAGATGTACCCTTGGGAGCAATCAATTCCAGCTTAATCTGAGACTGATTTAGTCTTAATCTTGTCATTCAAGACAAAAATATAATTATAATTTATTTGGCAAACACAATCTTCTAGGATTGTGTTTAGTTTTAGTAAGCAACAAATAAGATAAGGATCCCAGCCTACACAGGCTTGCAGTCTTAGGCCAGCACAAGCATATTACAGTGTGACAAATGTTGTTGCGAAAAAGATGTGAATGAAATGGAGGAGACTAACTCTTCCTCAGGTAGCTGATGAAGACTTCACAAAAGAGGTGACACTGTATCTCAAAAAAAGGGGGGGGGGGAAGAACATTTGACGCATGTGCAAAACCTGAAGGTTAGTGTTGAAATGAACAGTGTCTGAATTCTATGATATGTGGGAGTAGGGAGTGAAATAAATGATCAAAGTTTATTGGGCCCCTCTTGTGAAAGGCCTTGCCTGCCATGCTATGGAGACTGGACTTAATCAGAGGTGGAGGGGACAACAGCACAAGCAGTTGCAGAGTTTTAGCAAGGGAGGGCCATGAGCAGGACGTTCAGAAGACTAGGGTGACCTCCATAGTCTCCTGGCTTCTGCATTTGCTTCAATGTCTTCTCCTCTGCCAGCTTGTCCTCTTTTACCTTCCGTTACAGGCTAGAGTTCACCACGGCTCAGTCCTCAGCCCCTGGACTTCCTCCCTCATCTCACATCTGGAGCTTCAAAGACTGTCTATATAGTCGTAACTCCAAATTATGTCTCTGGCATCAACCCACCTGTCCTGCTACTTGGCATCTCCCCTTGATGTGCAAAAACACCTCAAACTCAACATGAGCAAAATGAAATAAATGCCTGATCCTCCTCCCACTCACTTTCCTTTAAATCCTAGTCCTCAATTTTGTATATCTCAGAAATGGTAGTAGTATCCATCTAGTGTATAAGCCAAAACCTTAGGAGCTTTTCTTGATAAGTTTCTCTTCCTTACAACCAGCCCACATCCAATTCATTACCAAGACCTGAAGAATTCACTTGCAGAGTATCTTGGCATACATTTGCTTCCTCCATTCTGAACCTTAACTCTCATTCTCTCTTCTTTGGACTACTATTGTCACCTCATAACTGGTCTCCCCACACCCAGTCTCTACAGCACACTGTAGGCAAAACACTTATTAAAAAATTTGATGCTACCATTCACTTGCTTAAAGCCTGCTATTTAGGCCAGGTGCTGTGGCTCCCACCTCTAGTCCCAGCTACTCGGGGGGCTAAGGCAAGAGGATTGCTTGAGCCCAAGAGGTTGAGGCTGCAGTAAGCTATGATCGTGTCACTGTACTCCAGCCTGGACAACAGAGCGAGACCTTGTCTCTTAAAAACAAAAAAACAAAAAACAAAAACAAAAATGCTAATGTCTTCTCCATTTAATTTATAATACAGACTTCAATCCTTAATTTTTCCTACAAGGTGCTGACTGCATGATTTGGCCTCTGTTTCCTCTCTAGTCTCATTTGGGGCCACTTCTCTCTCTCTCTCTTTTGATTTCCCCCTGCATTCTAGTCACATTGGGCTTTTGCGACTTTCTTAAGCCTTGACTCTTGGGGCATTTGCACTTGCTGTCCCCTCTGCTTTGAAAACTCTATCCCTCCCACCCCCCTATTTCCTAGTATCCTCATCTCTACAGAAAGGTTAGTCCCTCAGGGGAAACCTTCCTTGGCTGACACCTTCCTCTCCCCACTTTTTTTTTTTTTAAAGCTAGAGTCTCACTCTGTCGCCTAGGCTGGAGTACAGTGGCATGATCATGGCTACTGCAGCCTCGACCTGATAGGCTCAGGTCATCCTTCTGCCTTAGCCTTCCAAGTAGCTGGAACTACAGGCGTGGGCCACCATACACAGCTAATTTTTTAATTTAATGTAGAGATAAGGTCTTGCCATGTTACTTAGGCTGGTTTCGAACCCCTGGGTTCAGGCCATCCTCTCACCTCTGCTTCCCAAAGTGTTGGGATTACACTGTACCTGGTCATATTTTGAATCATGTTCCCATTTGTTTCACATAACTCTGTATTTTCCACTTGTAGCACATGATTATGCTCTATGATTAAATTTTTGTGATTAAGTATCGCCTGCAGGGAGCAAGCAGCAGCGGCTACTGTGGGTTGCATAAACTATCAGACCTGACAATTAGGCCAAATACAGTTTCTAACAAGTAATGAGGTAGAAACAAGACTGCAATACTTAAATAGCAAATGGAAGATAAGAAAACATACCCAGTGAACAGAGTAAGGCAGCTAGAAGCTTAAATACCAAGGGAAGGAGTTAGGGATGACAGCCAGCTAAAGAGGGAAGGACAAAGGGTGCTTGTTTTGTTTACAATGAGCACATTTAAATACTTAGGGGAAGAAACCAGTGAGGGGAAGGAGGTTAGAGATTTGAAAAAAGTTAATTGATGAGGCAGGGCACACTAAGATGGAAAAGGGTATAGGTGGACAATAGTTGGAAGACAGAATCAACAGGGCTTTGTGACTGATTAGGCATGCAAAAGTGAGAAGAGGAGTTGATTTCCCTAGTGTTTTTGACTCTGGGGGAGTCAGGGTGAGGTACAGAAGGAATGAATACTATTGGGATGGTTCAGCTCTGGTTTGAAAGATTTGGGTAATACATATATATATTTTTTTTTCAGTCGGAGTCTCACTCTGTCACCAGACTGGAGAGCAGTGGCCACTCCCAGCTACCGCAGCCTTGACCTGCTGGGTTCCGGCGATCCTTCCACCTCAGCCTTCCAAGTAGCTGGAACTACAGGTGCGCACTACCATGCCCGGCTCATTTTGATTTATCGTAAAGATGAGGTCTCGCCAAGTTGTCCAGGCGGGTCTCGAACCCGCGGGCTCAGGCAATCCACTCACCTCAGCCTCCCAAAGGTGCGGGATTACAGGCTGAGCCACCGAGCCCGGCTTCATATTTTTTAATGTTCAAGAAATATAACTTTTTTTTTTGAGTCAGAGTCTCACTTTGTTGCCCAGACTGGAGTGCAATGGCATGATCATGACTCACCACAGTCTCGACCTCCTGGGCTCAGGCAATCATTCTACCTCAGCCTTCTGAGTAGCAGGGATTACAGGTGCATATCACCATGCCCAGCTAATTTTTAATTTTTTTTTTTGCAGAGACAAGGTCTTGCTATATTGTCTAGACCAGTCTCCCAGGCTCAAGCAATTTTCCTGCCTTGTTCTCCTTAAGTGCTGGGATTACAGGTATGAGCCATCACAGCCAGCCCCAACCTATCTTATAAATGGAAGAAGTGTAGTAGGAAAATACTAGGCTTGGAGTCAGAACGCCTAAATTTGCAGTCTCTACTACAACTTTAAGAGAATTATGTAACAGATCTGACCTGCATCTCCCCATATGTGTAAACGGGATAAAAACAGTGGCATATCCCACGGGTGGGGCAGAGGAAGACATCTTCCCTGGTGCAGTTAGTTGATAAGAGGGTGCACTGCACAGACTTTTAAGACAATAAAATAGACTAAATGTTAGTCTTTTAAAAATTTTCACCAAGCACTGATGATTATAAACAATGTCAGTGAGTAAAAAATACTCTCCACCTTGGTAGCCATGGAATAATATGCATTTCAGAGTGTACTTTATTATGTATGTGACACATTATAAAATGCTACAAAATTTAACTCTTAAACAATTTTCTTTTCAAATTAATGTGACCTGTGAGATTTGGAGAGAAAATAGTGTTCTGTTTTAATTTTTTAAAGTATAGCAAATCTCCTAATCTGTAGAAAGTTATTTGGTCATATTGAATCAGTGAGATTGTCATTTTCTGGAGGTTATCTTTAGTACAGCCTTCTATAGAGAATGAGTAAAAAATCTTAAGTGTTTTTATGTCATAGGGAAATAAAAAATATTAACTTTACAGCTTTGTTTTTGGTCAGGTAATCACATCACAGACCTACTCATAGAGCCTATGCAGACTTGCTGGGTACCAAACCAGTTTAAATGATTTGTTTACTTCAACTTCTGTGTGCTCAGAAATAAAATACTATTACATACCTCACAAAAGAGTCTACTGAATTTCTGAGAACATCACATGTTAAAAGAGAGATTATCTTAATGCTTACATCATTTTTAACAGGCTCATTGATAAGTGTTAACTAGCAAGAATGCCAACAGTGAGCATTTATGTCACGTTTTAAATCTACCTAGCATGCAGCTGATAAAGTATGAGACTCATTCCATCATAAGGATTCAATAATGAATTTCTACAGTGTACTTTCTACAGTATTTTATAATGCAATAAACAAGCCCTTTTATAAAAGCCTTAAAGATACAGAAAAAGTCTGATTACTAGTTGGTCTTCTAGCATCTGTTCATATTTCAGTACCTGTGGGTGTAGGTGCTGGCCTTTGCAGCACAGAGAACATTCTGGCGGCAACTAAAACAACACCCAGTCAAAGAAGCTGACTCCATCCTGATCCTTTTTATTTATGCTAAGGTTGAGTACCTTATATAATCCATCTCCTTTATGTACTGCTTATAGAGAGGGTGTTATTTTACTCAAACACTGGAAGACTACAATAAGGAGCTTGTAAATTCATTGTTGTGAGGGCTACAATTCCAGATATTCAAAGAGCCTTTAAAACAAAATATTACGGTAATTATCATAGAGCAATATTTTAAAAGTAAGTAAGGTTTTAATTTTCCCTGTTATGTTATTCACTAGAAAAAGATTCTGAATTTCTGGCACTTTATATGCTAGACATAAGTGATATCTATACCAAAATACGTTTGCAAACGTGAGGCATAATGACTGCATCTTTAGTCACAGTGTACTATTTTAGAAAGAATGGAAGTTATATATGTAAAATTTGAATATTGGTTTTTGCATAATTTAGAGAAAAAATTACTTCTAGGTAATAATTACTTAAAAAAGAAAGCCCTTAACTCCTGGAAGAAGTCACTTGAGAAGAAATCCATCCTTCAGTGGGTCATCACCTTCTACTGTAAAGCTTGCCATACCGGTGTAATGGGCTTGTCCCGACACTTCCACTATAATAGCTTTAAAATCACCACATTTTGCTTCCTGAAAAAAGAAGATGAAAGGAGTATACTATCAAAATATTGCATTCATATGGCCAAAAAGTTGTACTCTTTATTTTTATCATGCTAAAGAAGGAAGCAGGGTTAACCCTACAGCCAAGGGAAGGTCTTTAAGAAGAGTGACATGGTCACCCTTGTGCTTTAGACAAGCTTAGCTGTAAAGTGGGGGACAAAGTGGAGAGAAGAGAGACGAGAAACCCAGAAACTTAAGAGATAACCTCAATTCACTGACTGAATCCAGAGTCAGTGGGTAGTTTTTAGGGAAGATGAAGAAGGAGAATATAATACAGAGATATTTTGGAGGCAGAATGGATAGGATTGTTGACCAATGTATGTGGGAACTTGGGAATAGATGAACAGGTTAAATATGTCCATAGTTTCTAGCTTGGAAGTTATACTAGTGATGCCATTAACCAAGATGAGGAATGAGAGAGAAGGAGTATGTTTTAGAAAGGAAGGACAAACTTTTTAACAAGGCAAGTTTGAGATATCTCTGGGACAGTCATTTAGAGGCAAGTGAACAGCTGGGATTAAGAGTGTTAATTTCTGAAAGAGGTACAGGATAGGCATGAAAGTTTGGGAGTCATCATCAGCAGGTAGTTGAGAATTGAAGCCTAGGAAGTGGATGAAATTGCCCATGGCATCAAACTATAGATGAGATGAGAAGGAAGTCAAGGATGAAATGATGGGGACACAGACAGTGAAAGGAAAGAGACTGAAAAGGTACCATCAAGGAGACTGGATAAGCCCAGACAGGGATAGAGTGGTGCAAGTGAAGCTGTTCTGGCAAGCAGGATTAATAACTGAAAAACAACATGAAATCTTAGCTGTGGCATATCTCTTTATTTTCTAATTTTGTAAACAAGAATAACAGGCTAAAGGTAAAATGCCAAAAATTAGGGTATAGTAATTAATTATCTGATTATGAAACTACTACACTATAAAACCTCATTTAACTTTTGCTTTGTCTGGTAGCAATATAATGTAGTGCTTCACAGCACGATGTCTGACCAGAGAGACTCATGTAGATCTCCTACTTTCTAACTAACCTCTTGCAAATTACCTAACTTCTCCAATTTTCCACTTTATCATCTGTTAAAAAAGGATAATAATGGTACAGTACCCACCTCTTAGGATTCTTCTGAGGATTAAATGAGGTGGTATGTATAAAGTGCTTAGCTTGGAAATTGACAGACAGTGAAGTACACAGTAAATGTTGTAGATTATTATTTTTATATTCAATCTTAGACAATGTGTTACAAATTTTTACAAAAACAAATGGTTTGGTATATCACAAGATCACTAAATGATACAGGAATTCCTACCTTAAAGAAAATTTCATAGTCCGAAAACCTAAACCTTAAAAAACAACTATATTAGGATAGATTGTTTGCTACATTAAAGAACTCTTTATGAATAGATTCATTTATTAAATGTAGTTAATCATTTCATATATTTCATTTACTGCTATGAGAACATTCAGAAATCAGTTCTGTTAGTACATTTAAAATTTGATCCCACTATAAAAATCCTACTTTCCACAACTTTTCAGGGCTTTCACATCCTGTTATACAAAATGAAACAATACAAAAAACAAATAACAACAAAAAAAACCCAAACTCTCATTTAGTGGTTCTCAAAACTTTCGGTCTCAGGACCTGTTTACAGTTTAAGATTTGAGGATCCCAGAGTTTTTGTTTATATAAATTATATCTACCTATATTTACTATATTGGAAATTAAAGATATTTGTTCATTGGAAAATAAACACATTAATATATGAATATTTTTGTGAAAATAACTTTATGAGAAAAAATTCATGAGGAAAAGGGCACTATTTTACATTTTTGAAAACCTCTTTGATGTCTGGCATAACAGAAGACAACTAGATTCTCATATCTGCTTCAGCATTTAGTTGGTTGGGATATGACATCTCATGTAGCCTCTGAAGAACTCCATTGTACACTCTTGAGAGAATGAGAATGAAAAGCAAATAATGACTTAGTATTATGAACATAGTTTTGACCTGTGGAGTCATAGGAATAATCCCCCTCTCCTAAGAGTCTCAAGGTCACACTTTGAGAACCATTGTCCTTGTTGAAAAATTTTTACAGGCCTGCTTTAAAGTTCTCTTCTGAGAGCTAAGTGAAGAAACATATCAAACACCCACCTCGGGCCTCTTCCGTCTTACAAATAGCACATTCACATGTAAGAAGCTAAGATGTCACTCACCCTCACAGCTTTCCCTGTGAATACTGAGCCAGTTGTGGTGCTTTTGAAGGCTCTGGTCTGGTTCAATTCTAGAAGCCCTTTGTGATACTGTAAGGCAATTCGGGCTGTCACTCCTGAGCCTGTAGGACTTCTGTCAACCTGTTTCAGAATAAATGAAGATCAGAATGTTTATAGTGTTGTATTTCCATATTACCTGGCTTTTGTGTATAAAACTTAAAGTTTAAATACCTGTGCATCTGCAAACACACAGAGGTTGGTGGTTGGTTCCTTGATATAAGCATCTTTTCCATCTGTTAATATAGTTCCGTATAGAAAGGCAAGGTCTTCACTATCAGGATGATTAATTTTAAACTGCAATTAACAACACAAAAGTTATCAACCACATGCAAAATAAATATTTTGATTCAAATTTCTCTTTATAAATAATATGTAGATGAGGCACTCTTAGACATAACTTATCAATCTTTATCATTTTTTGAAATACCTTTTTGGGCAAGGCACTAAATGCTAGTCTAGATGAATAAACATTATCTTAATGGAAGTTATGATTCTTATCATACTTTGAGTCCCTTCTAAGGAAGTTGCCCTGCATATAGCCTCTACTAAAGGAACAGTCCTATTTCATACATCCCTCCTACCCCTCCTATAAACACTCTCTCTCGGAAGCAATGACCCCAGGATGGTAAGTTCACAGGCTGGCTGTGGCTACTCACACAGGATGAGCTTAGGCAGTCAGGCTCATTCTCAGGAGCTTGAAGGGGATAAAGTGGAAAAATCAGGCAATGAGTATCTAGAGCTGAAGTTGATACCAGTAGAGAGACAAGGGCTGTGAGAGGATGTGAACAAGCAAAAGTTATAAGGATGCAGAAGCTATGAGGTAAGAGAAACCATTGGATGGAAAAGATTTATTGGAGAGGATGAAGTCAGTTGGTTCCACACAGACAGAAGCAGGCACTGGTAGGGAAGCCAAACCACACAGTGGTACATTCAGGCCCTGATATGCAATGCCTTCTCTTCTTCTTAGAAGATCTATTTATTTAACGTCTGGATTTCTGCAACATCTGATAGTATGACTGAGATTGATATAATCTTACTTCGATGTATATCCTTACAATTAGTGCATTCCACTTCCATTTACCTGTCATTTAAAGCAATGAGATAGATTTGTGTTCTTAAAATCCAAAGAGTCCATCTAAAACCAAGTTAAAGAGGCGTGCAGATTGGATCTTTGTTCTCATTCCTTTTAAAGCCCTGGGTCCCACCTCCACCACTGCTTCCCCCACAAGGGCAAGCTCTGTGGAGGTAGGTTCTGTTCTTTCTTTGAGTCTCCAGCATCTAGCATAGTGTCTGCCATAGAACAAGTTCTTGGTAATGTTTATTAAAAAAAAAAATAGATGAAGATGAATTTATATTAACTTTAGCACTTCTCCCAAAAATGGCCTGTCCCCAAATCTGCTTGACAGTATGACTGGTCAACACTTCATAAAGTAGTTCTACTGCGTGATACATCAATAATAAAACTTGTTCTCATATTTTCTCACAATCCTTATTTTCTCAAAATCAACCTCTTGCCATCTTGTGAAATTCTAGCTGTAAACAGTTCAAAATTATTCCTTTTATTAAGAAAACCATGACTCTCTTAATCTCACTAAAAATCAGGTGAAATTATTTTGTGCCAAATTGTTTTGTTTTTTTTTTGAGTTGGAGTCTCACTCTGTCACCCAGACTGGAGTGCAGTGGCTGCTCCTGGCCACCGCAGCCTCGACCTGCTGGGCTCCGGCGATCCTTCCGCCTCAGCCTTCCAAGTAGCCGAATTACAGGCATGCGCTACCACGCCTGGCTGATTTTTTGATTTATTGTAGAGATGAGGTCTCGCCAAGTTGTCCAGGCGGGTCTCAAACCCGCAGGCTCAGGCAACCCACTCATCTCAGCCTCCCAAAGGCGCGGGATTACAGGCTGAGCCACCGAGCCCGGCTGTGTGCCCAATTGTTAACTCAAACTGTTAGCTGTCTGCTAACAATGGAATAGAAAACAGATGTAAATTCAGAGCTTCAGAAATTACTATGATAACATAATTCCATAAGTGGGTATTGACAGTCCCAGAAGAATAATAGAACCACTGATATATATTTTCATTTTGTTATTTAAGTTATGTTATATTAACATAAAGCCTCAGAAGTGTTAAATAGGCCCATAATAACTATTAGTACAAGTATTTTAGATACTGTCTTATTTTTTACTACCACCAATAAATTTTCATATACTAAACATTCAAATACTGTACATGTGTTTTATTTACAGGTTTCAATTTCAAGGTAAAAATGGCAGACTTGTGCTAGAAATGAAGGAATATTCCACACTTACTTATTATCTAAACTGATTTTATCAGAACAGCTTTCCCAAGACAAAACTAGATTTACTTGAGAAGTTTAGTAACTTCTTAGCAATATATGAAAAAATTCACTAATTAGGAACTAATGTTCTCTGTTAAATAACAGAAAGTCTTAACAGACCTAATGAAATCTATTTCGTAGCTATATTTTACATTTATTGTTTGCAAGTTTTACAGAATGCCAACATAAGGCAAAGTACATGCATTTTAATTTAGTGAAATTCTATATGTACTATACATTTAAATAACCACAAACTATATTAGTATATATGTATTATTAAGGTTAATAATAATTGTCATTTACTGATCACTTATTAAGGGCCAGACACTATTCTGGGTCCTTTACGTGTACGGACTTATTTCATTCTTACAACCCTACAAAGCAGGTTCATAATTTCCATTTTGTAGATGGGAAAACTGAGACATATGGACGTTATGTAACTTGTCCAAGGTTATAAATGTTACAAGTGGCAAAGCTACAACTCACAAGTAGTTTTGCTCCAGAGCCTAAGACTTTAACTGGTATCCTGTTTTTAGTCTACTAATAATTTAAATATTGGATAAAAAATGTCTCTATAGACAATACTTTTTATTTCCTCCATGTTACAGAGGAGGGCATTTGTTATGAAGACAGCCATTGTACTGACCTGAGCTTTCACTGCTTCTGTCACTGCACTTGCTGCATCCACGAGGTCCTTTGTCTTTGCAGAACAAATGTCGAGTTCTAACTTTTCAGCACTAACAAATGCATAAAATGCACCACCATATGCAATGTCCACCACCACCTTTCCATGTCCTGGAACATCCACTATGAGGTCTAAAAAGGAAGTGTTTGGAAGTTAGATGCGTTTGTTAATAAGTATTTTAGTAACACAAGTCACAGCATTTTTTATGTGTTTATTTTCAGTGGGGTGGGGGGAGATGTAAGGGGGGGTGTCTTTTTTCTATCATAAAAAGGAATGCACCAAAAATTCCATCTTTAAAGTGAGTAAGCATCAGGTAAGTAACAGGTCCTTCTTTTCTTCCTTCCTTTCATGTGAGTACAGCGTCTTGCTATGTTGCCCAGGCTGGTCTCAAACTCCTGGCTTCAAGCAATCCTTCGCCCTTGGGTTCCCAAAGTGCTGGGATTATAGGTGTCAGCCACCCAACCTGGCCGATAACTTGATGTTTGCACAAGTTATACCACTGAAAGTCATGTTTCCCCCAACATATTTATTAATATACGTGCATATTTGCCAACTATTTTGGGAATCTTTTCTAGGAAAATCGAAGAGGTCAAGAGAGGGAAGACCTTGGGATGTCCCAGTGAACTCAATAAAGGAAATTGTAGGTCCCCTTGTACACTACTAGAGGTTCAAACTAGCGAAGATTTTGGATCCAATCCACAGTTTGGTTTTCTTCATCTGTAATATTAAAATTTTTAAAGAGATTTTTCTATACAAATTATATATACTTATGCTTCTACATATTTTCATCTCATTAAAGTGTCCTGCAGGCAAATACTCAGAATAAAGCCATTGTAGAATCACTGACCTCTAAAGTATCATTTCGTGTCAGGGTTTTTATTTGAACATTTTTAGTCCCTGACACACCCAGAGTTTCATCTGAAGGTTAGTTTGAAATCATGAATCTGTATTTCCAAAGAAATGGGACTGGGTGATATTTTAGCGCCTTAAAACTGTTTTTCCCCTTCTCGAATTTTCCTTCTCCTCCTCCCCAATTCAAGCTGGCTTGGTGATCCCAGCCTCCGAGGAAGGCCCATGGCAGGAGAGAAAGCAGGTCTTTCTGTTTTTGTGTTATGGAAATCTAATTTCTCAGAGGAAAGAATTTGTTGGTAAAGGAGTAGTATCCTGAAGAGAGAAATATTTCTCCTAGAGACAAAAAGAAATTTCCTACTGCCTGGAGAGAGTGAGGAGGCTGAAGGTACAGAACGGACCTACATTGACCTCCCCACAACACTTTGGGAATGATATTGTGAAACAGAGCCAGCAAACCAAAAGGGGGAGGCAAGGTCAGAGGGCAGGGACCACACAGAGTAGGGCAGAAAGCGCTCTGCTTCACAGGTTAATTGTGAAGCTAAAGATCAAAGGTCCTCTCTCTCCAAGGCCTTTGCAATTTGAATTAACCAGCGCATGGACAGCATTGACAGATGAGGGTACGGCAATGAACAGGACAGAGTGGGGTCTCACTTTCAGAAATTAAGTTGTGAAAAAGAAAATATTTCTTGTATTCCTGAGTTTTCAGGCTGAGTCATACAAAGATATCAGATTGCTATCAGTTTCAGACTAATCCACAGAAGCCCTTTTAACACACGATGTGTCAAAACAGAGCACAGTTATAATCAAAAGCATAAAACATGCCTGTGATCTTAACAACACAACTGAATCCAAAATGCAGTTTTTATCTTGATGCCAGTGCAAAGCAGGTTTCATGAAAGAAGAATGAGGAAGTAGGTGGAAATGAGGGACTGCTGGATCATGGAAAGCTAAGGTGGGTGCAGCACCCATCAGGAGACACAGGCAGCAAGCCTGTGACTCAGTCTGCCTGCCCTCTTCTCTTGATCGTATAACTGAATGGGGCAGTGGCCGCCAATCCTGGGGCAAGGGCAGAGTGAGGAAGGTGGTACAAGCCTACAACCATTCCCTTGATCCATCATTTCTGGAAACCTGGGGTCCGGTTTTCTTGGGGTGGGCAGTTGGATAGGGTGCTACACCTCATGTTTCCTTTTCCTTAAATGTAGAGAATATAGTTTATTTATTTATTTATTTTTGTTGGCGTCTCATTCTGTTGCCCAGGCTGGAGTATAGTGGCATGTTTATGGCTAACATAGCCTCGACCTACTGGGTTCAGGTGATCCTTCCGCATCACCTCCCAAGTAGCTGAGACTATAAACATTAGCCACCATACCTCCCAAGTAGCTGGGACTACAAGTGGTAGCCACTACACCTCCCAAGTAGCTGGGACTACAAGTGTTAGCCACCACACTGCTCAAGTAGTTGGGACTACAGGCATTAGCCACCACACCTGGGTTATACACACACACACACACACACACACACACACACACACACACACACATATATATATATATACACACACGTATATACATATATACATATATATATATATATATATTTTTTTTTAATTGTAGAGACAAAGTCTTTCCAAGTTGTCCAGGCTGGTCTTGAACCCCTGGGCTCAGGCAATCCTTTCACCTCCAGCCTCCCGAAGTGCTGGAATTACAGGCTTGAGCCACCAAGCCCAGCCAGAGAATACAGTGTTTCATTTTTTTTCTTTTTTTTTTGTAGAGATGAGGTCTCGCCAAGTTGCCCGAGCGGGTCTCGAACCTGCGGGCTCAGGGAATCCATTCACCTCAGCCTCCCAAGGTGTGGGATTACAGCCTGAGCAACTGAGCCCAGCGTGTTTCATTTTCTTAATAACTCTTCTAATGCTCACTAATTATTATGCTGTCACAGTGATGTTCTCAGGAACTACTGTGCTTGAAGGGTTGGCGGCCCCTGCCCTAGCCAACCCAGGGCTATGATGCATTTGGTGATCCTGCTGCCTGCTGTCATTTCCTGCAGAATCTAGAGTGCTTCTTATCTGCTGCTGGGGTCTCCTGGGGGAAATCTGGTAGCCCTGCTAGTTAAATTGTTGACAGTTTTTGGATGCAATCCTAAACATAAATTCTGCCTCCTTCAAGTGCCCGCCCTATCCAGATGTGACATCACTCGCTTCAAAAGGAGAAAAATGGCATCAATTTCTCCAGGGATATTCTTCCTCAACTTGTGTGTGTCAGCTGCCTGAGGCTGCTCTAAAATTGGGAAATGCCTGTTCTATTACTATATCATTCATAATCAGGCTAACCTGGAATCCAATTTCTCAGGATCAAGATTGAACTTCCCAAAAAAATGATTTTCATGGCTTGAAGACTAAAGAAAACATATGATGACCCTATTAACTATATTAGCTCCCAGCTCACTTCCCGTCAAGACTACTAAAGCATCCTCACTGATAGGATTCAGCCCCTTGGAGGGGGTACTGAGATGCGAGCAGATGTCAGCTTGTCAGATCATCCCCCAGGAGGGATCTTATCTCCCACTTGCAAGGTTTATGGTTATAGGAATGCCCTACTTCACATGATAGACTGCATAAGGATGCTCCAACTCGCAATCATATACATTCTACAGTCTTTACCTCGAGGAATATATTTTATATAGTTTTCTAAGTATCTTACATACTCTAATCCTAAAAAAAGAAACACAGGCACAGAAAGGCTAAGTAATTTGCGTAAGACAGTACAGTTTAAAAGGGGTTGTTAGGAAGAATAAGAGCAGCAACAACTGTTTCTTCACGATTTGTAAATTGCTTAGTTCTTTCATTCTCATTTAATTCTTCCCCAAATACGCGGGGAAGAAGAAGAAACGGAGACGGTATTTATTTAGTGACTTGCTAGGTCATAATGTGTCTACCAAGCATATTGCGAACCGGGCTGGAACCCTGGTATACTGGCTGTTCTTTGCTCTTTCCTCTTGGCCCCGGCGTGCCTCGTCTCTTGAAATCTCTGGGCACGCCTGAGCAGTGCAGGAGTCGCTGAGTAAGGAAAACGGAATTCTTTACTCCTCAAGGCTCTCCCTGAAGCCACCGGCGGATAGATTAGCGGGATAATCAAATTACATGCACCAAGCAAACACGCAAGGTTAAGATGCTGCCACACGTCTGCAGTGATTGAGAATTACCTCTTCATGGAGTGCAAAGGCATGCGGGGTGGGTTAGTCGCGCCGCGTGGGCTCCAGCTCGGAGACACAGTTAATACAATGAGCTGCGCCCGGAGGCGGGGCTCTGCCCGGGGCAGGACGGATCCCGCGCGTTACCTGTGGCCAGCACGAAGGCCGGGACGCTGTGGAAGCGCACGGGGCCGAGGCTGCGGCCGCCTTCACACGCCACGAAGGCGGCCACCAGCCCGCAAGGGCAGTGGATATTGACGCACGCCTCGCGGGTCCCGGCGGGAGGCTCAGGCACCAGGCCGAAGTCCAGCGCGAAGCGGCCAAGCGCCAGCACTGCGTGGCCACACATGGAGCTGTAGCCCTCGTTGTGCAGGAACAGGACGCCCAGGTGCGCGTCCGGCAGCTCGCTGGGCACCAGGACTGCCCCGTACATGTCCCGGTGACCGCGGGGCTCGAACACGAGCCGTCGCCGCACGTGGTCTAGGTGCCGACGCATGTAGCGCCGCTTGGCCAGCAAGGTGGGCCCGACCACCTCCGGACAGCCCGCCAGCAAGATACGCAGTGGCTCGCCGCCCGTGTGCATATCCACCACCGACAACGCAGGCGTCCCCGGGTCATGCGGGGGCAGCCGGGGCACTGCCGGCGCGTTCTCCATTGTCTGCGTCCAGGGACACAACCACAGTCCGGCAAGGCGCGCTTCAAGCCGGTGACTAGTCCGGGAACCTATCGCCACACCGGCAAGACGCGACGAGCTCCCAGAGGGCGGGACCTCGGAGCCTAAATCAAGAAACGGGGGCGGGGCTTCCGAGCCTAGACCTGGGCACAGGGGCGGGGCTTCGGAGCCTCGACGGGGCGAGGGCGGGGCTTCGCAGCGGTCGCCCGGGTTACTGGGAGGCGGAGCCGCCGAGAGCGCTGTGGCCCGGATGTCCGGGCGCTGCGGCCGGATCCGCGGAAACCTACGGGCGGCGAAACCTACGGGCGGCCAATGGGTGAGTGGTCGCGGAGAGGCCGGGAAGCGTCTGTGGTAGTCCCCGCTCTTCCCTTCGCATCCCATTCCGGGCTCGGCTGCCGCGGGTGGGCTTCGGGAGCGGCGCATGCTCGCCCTTTGCTCCCGCCGGTCCTCGGGCCGGGTCCGGGCCCCTCCCGGCGTCGGGGTGGTCTCCTGACGGGCTGCAGAGGGGAGGCGGGCCGTGTGCTGGAGGAAGGGCCAGGCCTTTGTTGTTTTGTTCGACATGTCACTGTCACTTCAGTCCCTTTGTTTAAAGTGGAGGAAACGCAGGCGTGAGCACTTCAAAATTAAAAACGCGGGCAATAATGCAGAAAACGATAAAAGCAGAAGGGGATTGCTGCATAACTTAGGTTCTGCGTCCACCTCTACCTAAGAGTACAGGATCCATCACAAGGGAGCAAGACCGACGCAAAACAAACAAAAATCTTAAAATTTTGTTAGCTGTCATTCACTAAAGGAAGTGAGGGGGAAATTGAACAGACATTGGAGCCGGGATTTTGTTTGGTAGATGATGAGCTTTTGCTATCAGTTTATTGTACTGGTTTTCAGGCCTTGGATTTTGAGAAACTTTAGCTTGTTTCTATTCAAATGTACTAATTAGGCAGCTACTAGATGTAAAGCCCATATGGAGGAAGCTTGCAGTTCTCTTAACTTTTGCCTTCTCGAAAACCCTGAAATACACGGTCTGACCATTAAGTTCGCGAACACCTCCTAGACAAAGTGCTATACATACCTCAACTGCTGAGTGTTACTACGGTCACCTTCCAAGTACTCCCCTTGGGAAGCTAGTCACCGATGCCAGCGCCTAGTCCACCTGTCACAGCATTTTGGAACCCTTTTTTTGGAATCACATCAGAGATGTGATCAGATTACCCGTAATGTCATCAAAGTGTCTTCCTTTCAAAATTTCCGTTATCTTCGGGTAAAGAAAAAAGTCATGGGGGGCCAGATCAGGTGAGCAGGGAGGGTGTTCCAATACAGTTATTAGTTTACTGGCTAAAAACTCCCTTACAGACAGTACCATGTGAGTTGGTGCATTGCTGTGACGTAAGAGCTCCTTTGGGACCACTTTTGCCCACACCTTTCTCATACCAAGATTTTCAGTTAAAGAGTCTCCTATTTCTATCGATGTTTATTTGGTCCACTGTGCTTCTCACAGTCAGCTGATGACTTTGATGCACAATTTGATGAATTTTTGCAATATTTTTGTCAATTCTGCTCATTACTGACTGTCTTGACTTCTCTTCATCAGTCCCCTCAGAAAAACTTTTAACCCATTTGTACATTGCTGTTTTTTTCATGACATTATGTCCATAAACGTGTTCCTGATTTCACTTCCACTCTTGCCAAGTTTAACAAGAAATTTAATGTTTGTTTGTTGCTCTGATTCAAACTCCAACATTCTTGTGATGGCACACAAAAAAAACGCAACAACAATAAACACCACTCAACAAGACACCGCCACACGATGACATAAACACAGCTGTGAGACATTAATATACCCAGATTATGAAACCTTGTACAGTGCTGTCAACAGAAGTGCACAAAGGCAAGTTTGCGAACTTAATTGTCAGACTCTCTATAATTTTCGTGTATTTAGAACATTGAGATTACAGTTGGTTAAAAAGTAAGCTCATGGGTTTCAAAAACTAGTCAGAACTTTGTTGAAAGTGAGAATATTTGTTGAAAGTGAGAATATTTTTTTCTTAGCAGCATTAAGGAGAAATAAATCAATTTGAAAGGAGAAAGGCATTATAGACCTTGAAGTCTCTAGATAGAGACTACTAGTGAAGAGTTTGGGAAATGATTGTTCAAGAATAGTCATAAAATGCATAATGTTCCAAATTAATTCGCATTTAGATCACACTTGTTTTGGATTTATTCCAAATTAGATGGTAGGTTGTTAAAGGTGGGGACTCTGTCATGTTTCTCTGTCTCTCTGTGGACCTTTAGTGGCCCCTACCCAGTGGGATTTGACCCTCAGAACATGCTTATTGCATGAAAGAATCAATGAAGAGAATCATGTCACTGATGAAAAAATTCCTTTAATAATTTCTCCCAGAGAATAAGGTCAAAGACTATCTATAGGATCTTTTTATTTTTCTTAAGCCTCCAAATTAGGGGATTAATTCTAAGACGATAGTTTCTAAATATTGGTCAGAGGCCCAGTGACAGATTTGATCAGATTTTTCCATTCTCAACAAAAATGATAAAAGATAGGAAAATGTGGGAAACTTTTTATAAGGTGAATTTATTTACTCTAAAGATCTGCCCCCATTCTGAAATAGTTTTTTTCAGCTTTTCTGGTGTGAAAATGTATTTTGTTTGAGCAAAGGTGATAATTGTATATGTACATGTGTGCACTTAATGTCTTGACTGGGAAAAATAAAAGGTGGTGACTCTCCATTGGTCCTCTAATTTTTTTTAAAAAAACTATTTTTTACTTTATAATCAGTGAAATTTAAAAGTGTACTCTCATCAAGGGGAGTCGCTGGCTGGAGCTATTGGGGACATACTGGGTAAGGATTCTAGTTCTTAGGATAGACCTTGCTGTGCTGGGTGAGGACCTTAATCATAAGGAACAGTATTATCAGCAAAGTCCCAGTATCTGCAGGGTCACAGTATAAAAGGAGAATCTTAAATGCAAAAGTAAATATGTCAAGACTTTTGTGTAATACATATCACTTTAAAATTTGAAACTGAGTCGAGACATTTCTGTCAAGTGCTTTAGCTATTATTGCATTTTTTTAATAATCACAAAAGATGTTACTATACTGGCATTTGTTTTTAAAAAGCTGTCGATATTCAACCAGCATGCCTTGGACTTTATTGTGGGAAGACACTATTATTTAAAAATGGCTCAACTGAAATATATGGAGAATGTGGGGTAAGTCTTACATTTGTATGTTATTTCATTTGTAAAATCTATTTGCTTTTGAAATATTTTCACATTTAGTGCCGTTCCTTGCATATACTCATTAATTTATAAAAGAATATGGAGTCATTAATAAAATAATAAAATCCTTGTTTGTATTAGCATATCAGTGTCTATAATACATTACATCTTTCTTGACAGTCACAATTATAAAGTTTTTTAAAACACATTTTATAATTTATAGTAACTTCTAATTCCTTTTAAGTGCTTTGTGTGATTTATAAGCTAACATTACAAATCTAGAACATTTCTCTGTTTTTTTTTTTTTGTTAATAACTAGGTTTTTCGTGCATGGAATGTTAGTCAACTATTTTAGTAACTTAGTAAAAGGAATCTTTTACGAGCATTTTACAGTTGTAGCATGTACAATGCAGATTTTTTTGTTTTATTTATGCTTTTTTATTTCTGAAAGTTTCACATGTACACTTAAATATTTAAATTGAAATGGAATTTTCATCTAGAATTATCTTTTGGGGGGTGTTGTATTCTAAAATTATATCTGTACACAAAAATGTTGTTTTTATCTATCATAGGTCTGCCCCAGAGGACAGAGAACAAATGCACAGAAATATTGCCAGCCTTGCACAGAGTCCCCAGAGCTTTATGACTGGCTGTATCTTGGATTTATGGCTATGCTTCCTCTTGTTTTACATTGGTTCTTCATCGAATGGTACTCTGGGAAAAAGAGGTTAGTATATTGGATGAATGCATCTGGCTGGGCTGATGCTGGAATAACCATCATTTAGAAGACTTATCAAGTAGTTATGCTTCTTCTGTTGTTTCCAAAGTGGTAAATCTGTTTTTCCTTTACTAAGACAAGTTTTCTTGTCATAGTATAATTATATAAAATAATTACATGTCTTGTAATTATTAAGGGAACAGTCCTTTGTTTTACTCTAAATGATCGTGAAGGAATATTTTTTATCAACTATAATCTTTATTGGTTTTCTTCCCAAAAAGTCATGATTATAAGCTGTTTATTGTTCTAGAACAAATACTTTGTAATTTAATACTAATAATGTAGTATAATGTCATCAAAATGATAGAACTGTAACCTAATTGTGAACATTCATCCTGACACATTAAGTCAACACACATTTATTGAGCACTGTGTTTTATGTTTGGAAGATCAGGGAGGAGATACGACAATAACTGTTATGGCTTATGGTCGTAATTTTGTGGAGAATACAAATGTATACATAAATCAGTCTTGGAAGTGTAGTGAAAGAGTTATAAACAAAATGCTCCGGAGCCACAAAGAATGGAGTGATACATACTGCCTGATGGGATCTAAAAGACTTCAAAACAAACTCTTTTAGGCAGAAACAGCATGAACAACAGCTTGGAGATGTGAAATGTGTGATCTGGAGTGGGTAGGAAGTAGTTAGGGATGGTCAAAGTGTGGGTTGTGAATGAAAAACAGATACTATAAAGGAGAGTGGGAAAGGTAGGTTGAGGTCAGAATGTAAAGGTTCTTGATAAGGATGTAAACTTTATTTCATTGGGATTGAGGACCCAAATTCTACCTCAGTACATTTCAGCCATACTGATTTTCTTTTTATTCCTTCAACTTCTCAGGATCTTCTTGCTGTAGATCCTTTCCCTTTCTCTAAGCTCTTTTTTCTGTCTGAAATACTCTTTCAACTGACTGTATCTTTTTACCTAGCTGCCTCCGTTCCTTCAGATTTCAATTTAAATGTCACTTGTTCGGAGAGACTGTCCCTTACCCAATCTAAAGTAGCTCTGTCTCCCTTATTTTTCTTTTTTAGTAGCACTCTTTGCATTGTTTTTAGCACAGGTCACAATTTATAGTTATGTTTGTTTCCTCATTTAACAGTCCCCCACCCCTGACTATAAGCTGCATGTGGGCAATGGCCATCTCTGTTGTCCCTGGAATCTCCAGAAGCAAGGACAGTGGCTGGCACATGATAGATGCCCACTCAATATTTGCTGAGTGAATCATTTCTTGGAAAAGGTTTTGGTGTAGGGAATTAGCATCATTGGATATCTATTTTAGGAAGATAATTTCTGTAGGGATAGATTTTTTTTTTTTTGAGTTGGAGTCTCACTCTGTTGCCCAGACTGGAGTGCAGTGGCCGCTTCCAGCTACCACAGCCTCGACCTGCTGGGCTCCGGCGATCCTTCTGCCTCAGCCTTCCAAGAGGTAGATTTTTTTAATTTAAAAAAATTAATTGTAATGACGTGGTTTTGCTATGTGGACAGGCTGGTCTTGAATGCCGAGCCTAAGGCAGTCCTCCTGCCTCAACCTCCCAAAGTGCTGGAATACAGGTGGAGCCACTACATTTGGCCTAGTTGAGGGTAGATTAGAGGTGAGATGTATTAGAAGACTGTTGTCAAAGAAAGAGTGATGACCAGATTACAGTAGTGGGAATGAATATGGAAAAGATGGCCAGATTGAAGTAGAATCAGCAGTTTTCTAAACTTCCCTGATAAATCCAAGGCAATTACTTACATTGGGAAAACACTTGTAATTTTTCTGGAGGATTTATAAAAAGACCTTTAAAATAGCAGCTCCCATCCTGGTTTTAATTTCTATTATAAAATGATGAAAGATGAAGCTGAGAAAGGAGGTGTGATAAGCTTAAAGCTAAAAGAGAATAACTGCTCAGTTAAATGGCTGGAACCTCTCAGCCCAAAGTAGAGAAGTAGTGGAGGACTTAGGGATGTATCTTACCAAATACATTTGTGTGAAAACATCAGATATGTTTTGATGAAGAGACTTAGAGCAGAGATAGAGGTTGGATTGAGGGAAGGCAGAGAAGTAACCATTGTCCAGGCAGGAAAGGAAATGGGTTTAAAAAAAGGGAATTTGTATAACTATGCTTTTCTCAGGAAATCGATAGCAAGGAGCACAAGGGCCACCGCTTGCATTTTCCTGAGACTTTTAGTCAAGAATGATTGGAGCTGGAGGACCCATAAAACCTGAGGAGAACCCTGAAGTTGATGTTGAAGAATATACAGTTTGCCCAGTTGGAGAAATGTGTTTTGAGGTAGAGCTGTGTGGAACCACAGGGTGTGTAGTGTGATGCTGGCAAGGAGTGTTTTCCCAGAAAGGCAAAAAAGACTTGGAAGTAGTTTAATAAAAGGAGTTTTAGAATCAGATTTCGTTTTGTAAAGATCATGTGGCTGACTGCAGATAGATGAGCATGATGAGAAGAGACTAGTAAGAAGGTTACTAAAGTAATGGCAAGAAATAGTGAGTTTGGGATTTTGCTTCTAAAAATGTAAATTCTAAAAAAAAAAAAAATGTAAATTCTATAAGGAAGCAAAAGATTAGGTTACATAATCTGAACATGTAAGTTTTATTTGTATACCCAATGTTTTTGTATTTGTAAAATGGCACATGAGTTCTGCTTCCAACAATGTGAGCTAGTTTGGAGCTCCACGTGACCCACCTGCATGAAATAACTCAAGACTGAAAAAGATAGACTATTTGAGATACTGCTGGTCCCAACTGGATATAGAAGGCATCTCCAAGAACCCTTCTCCTTCAGAAAACAAACAAATCCACCCTGAGCTGGGCATGGTGACAAGGCAGATGGTTAGGATGAGAGGGTTGCTTGAAGTTAAGTGCTCTCTGGATGCTGAAATTTGTGTAGCCTGGGCCCTCAAGGCCCTGAAGCCCAAGGTAATAGTAGCCATGACTGCTGGCAGAAAAGCAGTAAAACCTCCTTGCTGGAAACCTTCTCTATTCTTAATTTAGACCTATAAGACTCTTGCTTATTAAGATCTAGTAATGACCTCACAATCTGTGATTGCTTAATAAAATAAGCATGATGACTTATTGGTAGACGTAACAATGTATTTATGTTCCCAAAGAACTACAGATAATGGACTTTCATCTACAGAATGTATATCTGCTACCAATAAAGAAAGGATGTAGTCACCAAGTTCTCCTGTCAACAAAAAATTATTAGGAATAAACAGATGAATTTGGTGGGGGGAAAAAAAAGGAACTTTTAGAAATAAAAATTTACATTTTCCAAAAAAAGATAGTCAGCAGATTAAACAGTTCAAGATAAAATTAATGAACTAGAAAAAAATGCATATTAAGAAATAATGGAATGTAACACTGAGAGAGAAGGAGAAAGATGAAAAATATGAAATATATTCAGAGACATGGAGCATAAAATGAGAAGCTATATGTATGTCTTATACCTACTGGAACTCCTCCTCAGTCCAGTTAAAAACTCAGACTCAAGAGACTACCACAGGTTACAATGAGCACCAATCTATGCAGAAGCAACACACCTTGCCAGTGGGGTAGCATGAGGCATTACTTGTCAGCAGTAGCTTTTGAAACATTTCCACTTAGGGGCAAGGAGGTAAGAGCCATAGTAGGCGGGTGTGAGGGTTGTCTAGGCTTAAAGTCTTGTCCCCCACAGGAGCCAGTCTTTCTGACAACAACTCCGTAAGTTCTAGCTTCTGGGGACCTACAAGGGACTTAGCAATTATAAGAAATACTGAGCTCAAGACAGAATTACAGTGTCTCCATCAGGTATTTATAATTCATTGATAATTCTCTTCAGTCCAGATGTAACTTACCAGCCAGGGATCATTTGTATCATAAGCAGAGTTGCCTACCAATATAGTTGACATTCTCTCCTTATCAGAGTGCCAGAGGAAGAGAGTTAGAGGATTAACTAAAGGTGAGATTCTCATGCAAAGGGGAAATGTTTTGTTAACTCAATCTAACATTTATCAGGGTCTCCAAAAAAAAAAAAAAATAGTGAAGGAGAACAGATCTTTTGAGATACTGGCTTCAGATTTTACAAAATGAATGAAAAACAGATTCACAGATCCAGGAAGCAGAACACATCCCAAGCAGAACAAATCAATGTTCACACCTATATGCACCATAATTAAACTGCAGAATACTAAAAACAGAAGAGAGGCCATGTGGAAGAGAACTTGGGTGCTTATGCTCACAGCTGACAGCAGCGCTTACTGCAGCCACATGTGTGAGTCATTTTAAACACTGCCACATGGTCGAGCCCCCAGTTGAGTGCATCCCAAGTTGACATCTTGGGGAGCAGAAATAACTGCCCCGTTGAGCTCATTCAAACCACAGAAGTAGTAAGGAATGATCAGTGATGGTTGTTTCAAGCCACTAAGTTTTGGGGTAGTTTGCTATGCAGTGATAGACAGTGGAAACACTGTTCAAATTGAAACCTCAAAAGCATCTACAGACTAGATATTAGAAATAACATGAGAGTTGAATGAAAAGACTGACTATAAGATAAATATACAAAACTCTTACCTTTCTGTATTCCATGTATAGTACCACAAGTACTATGATATAGCTCAGACTAAAATACCTAAGCTATGATGGATTTATAGGATATGAATACTTAACAAGCTAATTTTAGAATTTATATGCAAGAGCAAAGGACCAGTTATAGCTAAGACCACTGGAGAAGTAAAAGAACATATGTATTATCAAAAATTATCATGCTATTGTATTGGTATGGGAGTAGATCACTGAACCCAAAGAACAAAATAGAGAACCAGAAAACAGACCAATTACATATGAAACTTTATGTGGCAGGAGTGGTATGGCAAATTATTGGGGTTGGGGGGAGGAGTATCTGTTCAATAAAATGCTGCTGCTGGGACAATTGGATATCCAAACAGGAAAAGCTATGGTTAGATCCTACCTTACATTATACACAGAAATTTCTTCTAGATGAGTTGAAGATAAATATGAAAAGCAGAACCTTAAAATTCTTAGAATATAGGATAATTTTTTAAGATCTTGGGACATGGAAGAATGTTTTAAAAACATTTAAACTGATAGGCAGCAATAAATTTAAAGTCAACTATATTAAAATTTAGAATATGTTTTTAAAAAGACATCACAGGTAAGTAAAAATTCAGCCCACAAATTGAGAGGAAGACATTTGCAACACATTTAACTAACAGAACAGAATAGATAAACAAATCATGGTATGATTACACAGTGACATCTAATACAGCAGTAAAAATGACTGAACGTCAGCTATAAGCAAGGCTAGGGATTAATCTTGGAAATGTAATTTTGAGTGGGAAAAAATCCCAAAAGACTTATGTTAGTGTGATATCATTTTGTAGCATTTAAAAATAAGTAAAATCAAACAGTAGTTTTGAAGTATAACTACAATTGTGGTAAAAACTGTTTAGAAAAAGTGATAAAAAGCAGTTTAGTATATGGCTACCTCTAGGGGAGAGACAGGTGTGTAATTGGGAAGGACACAGAAGTAGGTAAATTGTTGACAATGTCCTAGTTATTAGGTTAGGTGGTGAGCTTATGTTTGTTATGTTACCATATAACAAATGTATGCCACATCTCTTATGTACTTTTTACATTAAGATAATTTAAGATCATATATTGATAACTTTAAGAAAATTTTAATTACAATTTGATAGATACTAAAGATATAAGGTAGATCTAATTTCTGCTTTTCTGTTACACATTTAGATAATATTGGCACAGTGTTATCTGGGGCGAATATTCGTCCCTTTTGAAAAACTAAGGTTGCACTCCTCTGAGTAATTTTTATATATGTTTGGCTTAAAAAAAAACAAAACCAAAAAACTTTGTAGAAGATGTTTTACTTTCAGGATTTTTCAGTTAAGTTTTTTTTTTAGAATTCGTATCTGGAAACATGTACACGTTTTATTAAAGTCATTTAAATATTGATTTTTTTCTGGTAATCTTGCTTCTTTTCTTCTTTTCTCTAGTTCCAGTGCACTTTTCCAACACATTACTGCATTATTTGAATGCACGATGGCAGCTATTATCACCTTACTTGTGAGTGATCCCGTCGGTGTTCTTTATATCCGTTCATGTCGAGTACTGATGCTTTCTGATTGGTACACGATGCTTTACAACCCAAGTCCAGATTATGTGACCACAGTGCACTGTACTCATGAAGCTGTCTACCCACTGTAAGTATGTATTTAGACTTAATATCCTTTTTTAAAAATCTGAGGATTATTATAGATTTTTTGGAGACAAAAACAAGCTTGGCATTGAGTCCCAGGTCTGCCAGCTGCTGTTACCTCAAGCAGGTTAATAGCCTCTTCTAATCTCAGTCTTTCCCATTGGTAAAATGGGAATAATGATACCGTATAAGGTATTTTTTGAGAATTAAATGAATCCACATATTATCAGATACCATGTATAGTCCCTTACATATAGGAGGCACTTTATAGTAGCTAGCATTATTAGAATACTTGGGCTAATGTTCCTTTTTTTTTCCCAAAGAAGTGTAATTTCTATAAGAATGGTTTTTAAAAAATATATCACGTTCATAAGATTATCCCAGACTACTCCACTTTTAGAATTTCTGTAAATTGGTAGTGTTCATGTTGATTTGTTTTTTTGGGGGGGAAAAGTACAAAAGTCTGGTATTTATGTTCTCATAGTTGTAGCAAGTTTCTAGTACATAAAATGCTCAATGAAATTAGTCCTTTTTGAGCAAATTCTTTTTTTTTTTTTTTTTGAGTTGGAGTCTCACTCTGTCGCCCAAACTGGAGTGCAGTGGCCGCTCCCGGCCACCGCAGCCTCGACCTGCTGGGCTCCGGCAATCCTTCCGCCTCAGCCTTCCGAGTAGCCGGAATTACAGGCATGCACTACCACGCCCGGCTGATTTTTTTGATTTATTGTAGTGATGAGGTCTCGCTGCCCAGGCGGGTCTCGAACCCACGGGCTCAGGCAATCCACTCACCTCAGCCTCCCAGAGGTGCGGGATTACAGGCTGAGCCACCAAGCCTGGCTGAGCAAATTCTTAATAGTAAACATCAAAAACATATACATGCATATATGTAAAAAGGTAATTTTCAAAAATAAGATCCAGATACGTTAAAATCTTCTTTTGTTTGTCAGCCTTTAAGTCCTGCAAATTATTTATTTTATGTCTGTAATTATAGCTTATACATAAAAGACTGATAATGTCCTCTCTGTTGACTCATTGATTCATAGAGCTATAACCCTCAACTTCAGTTACTCTCTTGTCATATACTGTCCTAGGAACTTGTAGAGCTTAACCTGGTCTTATTTAGAAAACTTAATGAGTTTTAATATCGAATATTATATTTAAACAAGATATATAGTCATTTAAAACAAAAACAGATTCATGTACTGATAGTCATATTTATGTTGCTTATTTTAATATTTGTAAAGATAGACTCAAAAAATACAAGATTAGAAGAGAAATGGCAAATAGGTTTTCCTAGCCCTCATTCTAACCCACACTAGCCACTTCTGATTTATTACAGCACTTTTTCTTGCTAAGTTGGGTGTAGCCTCAGAACCTTGTCACCCAATTCTCAATCAGAATCATCGCACCACTTTATTGGTAGGAACATTTTCCATCTGCTCACCATTTCTGAATTTAGTAGATTTTTTTTTTTCTCAGCAGCATTACTAATAGTCATTGTGGAACAGCTTGCCTACTTTATTTTATTCATTATACAAAAATAATTATTGAAAATTGTGGGATAGTATAGTTATCTTATAGCATTGGGTTTTTGCATATTATTTACTTTACCTAACCATTCTAAATTTAAATAAATGGCTAGCTAGACTGATCTAAGCATTTCAAAAGGCTGTAGAGCAACCAAAAGTCATGGTAATTTTTTCTTTTGCAAGCAAACAAAGAGCTGTGGTACAAAATTATCAGAAACCTTTGGAACACTGTTACATTGACAGATGAAGGCTGTTTTCCCCCATAGGATATATAACCTAGTTCCTTACAAATTGAATAATATCACAGTACTTTACTGATAATTATAGTTTTGATAATTATAGTTGAGGCTTGGGAAAACATGTAAGTTTCTATCATTATAACTTACCATAAAAAATAACTTTTACATTACTAAAACTTTATAAATGAGTTACTAAAAATGAGCAGATACTACCGTTGTAGCAAAAATGAGCTTTAGCTTGTAAGATTTATCCTATCCCCATATGTAGGAGGCATGGGTTGAAAGAGGGGAATGGTTAAAAAATGAAGTCTTCAAGTGGAGAACAGGCATGGGAAACAGGTGCCTACTTTCAGAGACTAGTTTCGTAGTTCATTAGGAGAGGTAACAAATGATGGTTTCCTCCTGAGTAAAATGATTTTTTTGGAGCTCTTAAGTAACTACAAGTTGTGGGAATGCACAGATTTTTTGTTTGTTTGTTTTTTGGTGTTGGTAGGGGATGATATAACAAGACCAAAAACTCATCACCCAAGAGGTCAACCTGTACTAATGCACTTAGTACAGGACTGGACCTAAAAGCATCATAAGAGCACAGGAATGTGGTAACATTACCCTTTGTGGTGGGGAAGCACATGGTAGGTGATCTGGACTGACTCCTGTACTTCCTAGGACTCTCCCCTGTATAGGGAGACAGTTTGAGTAGTAGGACAGTAAAAATGATATGAAAATACTTATGGAAAAGAAGATAGAACTATGTATCCTAGTATTCAAATCCTAGTATTCAAAATAAAGAAATCCTAGTATTCAAAATAAAGTGCTAGAAACTATATAGTCTACTGACACAGAGCTCTTTTAAAATTTTTTCTGAATATAATAAGGTTATACTATAACATGTTATTTTGTAAGCTACTGTTGTCATTTAAGGTTATTTGGCCAATCTTCTACCAGTCTAAATATCCAATGGGTAGACTTATTATTTTAACCTTTTTAAGGATCCTTTATTTTAAAATATTCAAGGATAAAAACGTTTTTAAAACATATTTTTGAGGTTACAAATTCTCTGTTTTATTTTACAGATACACCATTGTATTTATTTATTATGCGTTCTGCTTGGTATTAATGATGCTGCTCCGACCTCTCCTGGTAAAGAAGATTGCATGTGGGTTAGGGAAGTCTGATCGATTTAAAAGCATTTATGCTGCACTTTACTTCTTCCCAATCTTAACCGTGCTTCAGGCAGTTGGTGGAGGCCTTTTATGTAAGTTTGGTGGGTGAAATCAATGAAATATATTTATTATAATCTGTAACAGTATTTTCTCTGAATGTAACCTTGGAGCTTTTTTTAAAAAAATATTTTCTTAATCTCTGAAAATTAATCAGTACTATAAAGAAAAAATAATGGCTTTCACAGAATTGAATAGAAATTCTAAAAAAATCAGTGGCAACTGATCAAAACTGGTTTCTCTAGAGAATACCTTGCATTTGAAGCTCATGACCAAATTAGAAGATTTTTAAAACCTAAGTATGTAATAAAAAATAAAAACTGATTTTTATTTGGAAATTAGTCTTGATAATATGCACTGCCTATTATTAAGTAGGGTCTTAGATTTCTGAGTTCCTTTATGAAAATCTTTTACATATGGCCACAAAAAAACACTTCAATATTTCCTTTATTTTAATATAACCATTAAATTGTTTATTCAGCAACCATTTAGACTGAATTGTGACTCAAAAGAAACAGTCATCATTAAAAAATTGACTAGAAGATAAAGCAGGCAAGCTATAAATAACTGAGAAAACATAGTGTGGTTCTTCTGAATATGTAACATTGAACATTCCAATTCCAAGGATGTTGGATACCATCCTTTATATGGAGCTTGTTGAGGATGTAACTTGGTTCAAGGTGATGGTGAAGCTGAGGGTAAGGCCAAGGGAAGTGCAGAGTAGAAACTAGCCAGGGGTCAGCTTGCATATTCCCCCATATTCTGGTTTACAGATAAAATGTATCATTTGGCCTGCACAGTGATTGAAAATCTGTAGTTCCCTCGGCTCCTACCTTTCCCTATTAGATTTGGCCCACTTCAGTGATGCCTGCCTAGCTAGCTAATCTTTGTAGGCATTTGAGATTGTTACACTTTCTCCAGGAAACAGGATTTAAGCAGAAGAGTGACATGATTAGATTTACATTGTAGAAAGCTAACTTGATAGCTCTGTGGGAGACAGTGGACAGGGGAAGAGAGCCTGGGGGATTGGTGAAGAGAGGCTGCAGGAAGCCAGCCCAACTGTCTGACCCATGGCAGAGAAACACTGGGAATGAGGAGCTACTTCAAAGGCAGATGAATTAAGTTGGGCAACAAATGAAGTATGGGGGCTGAGGGAATGGGCGAAAATGTGATAAAGTAACTTTCTGACTTAGTAACTGGTGGGTGGATAAAAGTGAATATTAGAAGAAGCAAATAGGTTGGTAATGAGAAGTGAATTCAGTTTGTGGTATTCATGGAATATCCAGAAGGTTACAGGTAGTTGTTTATATAGTCTGGAGCTTGGGAGAGTTGTCTAGGCAGGAAAAAGTTAAGCATTGGCAGCCCTCAAATCCCAGGTACTAGACTGAAGGTCTATGAAGTGGAGGAAAGGGAAAAACTGTGAAAAGCAGGAAAAGGTTTGAAAAGTTAACCAAGGGGAATGCAGGCAGCATTGCTTCCTGTGTATAACTGCCTGTTTTGAAAAATGCCTTTTCCCACACTGGTTGTTATTAGATCATTTTGTTAATAAGCATCCATTCAAAACTAGAAGTTGTTATTCTTTTGCACTAGTATAGATGTATAGTCTGCTGAGATTAGTCACAGAGATTATCACACCAGCTCATAATTATATAATATTGAAAAAAAAAGAAAGTAGATACTTTTTGATTTGTCAGGGATATAGCAGGTCTGAGAAAAGTAGAGAAGCAGCTTCTGGTTGCTTAAGATAGTGGAGAATTGAAGGTCTAGGGAGGATAAAAAGTTTGTCAGTGACAAACTTTCACCAGCTTGGAAGTGTTATTGAAATCAATTTTCAAGAGTGATCTGCACCTGAACCACCAGAGAAACTAAAATGCAGATTCCCAGACCCTACCCCAGACCTAGTTGCACAAAATCTTAAATTGTTTTATACAGTAGGATTTAAGAACCACTCTAAATTCTGTCTCCAGCCCAGTACCTCCCTCTATGCCCCAGAAGTGTGGGCTGCTTTCTTTTTAATTTATATGACTTTTTACTACCAGGTCTTGCGTTTGTATCTTTAACAATATTGATTGGCTACTTATGAGTTACATGAGTTTTTTTCCCCCAGTGATTGGTTGAGGACCTAATCACTGTTCTGAAATAAATACAGTAAGTCCTCAGTATATGAACGAGTTCTATTCTGAGAGAACGCTCATAAATCCCATTTGTTCATAAGTCCAACAAAGTTAGTCTAGATACCCAGTTAAAATCAGCTATACAATACCAGCTACATCACCATTGCTTTTACTCTGGCTTCTGGACATCCCAGGTTTGAAATAAAGATACTGTACTCTATATAGTGCTGTACAGTACACAAAAGCATAGCCATTTGACATAGGATGCACACATGTGACAATGTATGCCAGACACGTGAACTAACTTACATGATTGGACATGCAAACATACGTTCGCATCTTTGAAAGTTAGCAACTTGAATGTTTGTATGTAGGGGACTTACTGTAAAAGGTTCTAAATGTCAGACAAGTCATTTCAGTTCTTCAGTAAGGTGAACTCAGGCCTGCATAGATAATTCAGAGTTTCTGGCTGTTGCATCCTGAATTAACACTGAAATTGTTCCAGATGAATTCTACTGCAATGTAGAATGGTTAGTAGTTTCTTTAACAGAAGTTGTTTTAAAATAATTGTATGAAAAATAATTCAAGATATTTTTTCTCATTTATTTTAGTGTGCTATAAACTTGAAACATGTTAAAAGTGGTATTTTCATAGGAAAAAATTTTGTTTAAAGTATTGTTACTATACTATAAGTGAAATTTCTAGGATTTCAATATTAAGAATACTGAATGATCTATATATCTTTTGAGATTTATTGATAAATGAACATTTCTAAAGATTAATCAGAGCTAAATACTCTTATAGATAACCTTTCTCAACTGAGGCTCCATACTGGACCACAAAAAAGAATAGTATTTGAGTAACTATTTTCTCAGTTCTCCTAAGTTTGGTACATAACTGGTACCATTCTAGATGGAGAGAAGTTAATTCTTTATATTCTATGGATGTCTTAAGACAGGGATCTTCAAAGCCAGGCCAAGAATGATTTTCACGTTTTTAAATGATTAAAAAAACAAGACATTTCTTGATGTGTGAAAATTGTTTGAAATCCAAAGTTTTGTTGGAACACAGCCATGCCCATTCATTTATGTATTGTCTGTGGCTCCTTTCCCACTGCAGAGTTGGGTAACTGAGACAGACAGAGACTGGGAGCCTGCAAGGCTAAAACTATTTATCTTTTCAGAAAAAGTCTGCTGACCCCTGCTCAGAACTTTAAGACTGAAGTCTGTCACAGAACTGGTTGACAAAGGCTTGGACTCCAGGGAAAGTTATACTGTTTGAATTTATTTGACAGTTTATTCAGAAAATGTGCTTTATTTCCAATATTTTCCAACATAATACCAGTGCTTGTTTTTCAGATTATGCCTTCCCATACATTATATTAGTGCTATCTTTGGTTACTCTGGCGGTGTACATGTCGGCTTCTGAAATAGAGGTAGGAAGTCTTTTTTTCCTTTGTTAAAGTTAACAAAAAAAACTTGACAATTGAATAAACTGTTACTTTATATGATCCGATACAACTGATTGTTTTGGTAATCCTTGGCTAATTGATGTTACTCGGTAGCTTTTAGCTCATTAAGTCTATGAAGAGTTATGTACTGGACTATATATTTACTTGGGAAAGTGATAAAATAGTGAAGTAGTCAGGCTCAACTCTCCAGCATGGTGGAAAATAATCATTTCACATAATTTACCCACATAGCAATCATGTAATTATTGAAATGTTGGAATGTATTAACATTATTTTGAGAGAAACAAAAACAGGTTCTACTGTATATGAGGGGAGAACCAAAGAAAGCTGGAATTAATTTATTAAAAGATCGTGTATTCTTATGTGTTTAAACTTCAGTCACCTTTAAAGTACTCTCCATTTGATGCAATACACCTATCGAGATTCTTTCCACTGCTCAAAACAGTTTTTGAACTTGTCAATTTTTCTTTTAGTGCTTCTGCTTTTTTGGTTTCACCTCTTCTACATCAGCAAGACATTTCTCTTTGAGGACTTTTTTTTATCCAGGGAAACAAAAAAAAGTTGCTTGGGGTGAGATAGGGTGAATAAGGAGGGTGGGGCAAAGGGGTCATGCCATTTTTTGGTCAAAAACTGCTGAACACTCAGTACAGTATAGGCAAGTACATTGTCATGGTAAAAGAACCAGTCACCTGTTTGCCACAACTTGGGATGTTTCTTCTGCAATGCTAGCTGGTACACTGATGCCAATGGGTTCCTAGAACACTAATGGGGCGGCGGGTGGGCAGGGGGAGGGGGTAAGGGAGTAGAGATGGAAGAGCCTATACTACAAGGAGCCCACCCTTCAAAAGATAATTCCAGTTTTGGGGAGGTCCCCCTCGTATAGAACTAATTTTAAATTTTATTTTACAATGGCAATAGTAACAGAGTCATCAGTATATTGTAGATTCCATAACCTTCTATGCTTTATCCCTAATTTTATCTTCTTTTTATGGGTGTTTACTTTTACCCTGTAATATCTATAATAGTTTGATTTGAAGGTAACATTAACAGTCACATTTTTCTGATACATCTCCTTTTTTGAGGTATCCATTTTATGCCTTTAACTTTTTAGTGTTTCGGTAGAAGAGCACTGTTATAAAGAACTCTTTTTTGTTTGTTTGTTTGTTTATTTTCAAAATACTTTTGGCCAAAAAAACTTTATTTTGATCCATTTATAGGTCAGTTGGTAGACTAGAACACCATTTCATCACATTTATATTTTAAAATATTCTAGTTAAACATTATTAGTTAAAAATATGAGCAATAAATGAGAAATAATAGTATATTTGACTATATAGCTTACTGGGGAAAATATATTCATTAAATTTTTAATCAAAATGGGCATTTTGCACATTATTTGTTTACATGCAGTCCTCTAAAATTTTCTAAAATAACTATGTGGCTCACTACTATTTATTTTAATGTATCACATTTAAATTATTGCTTTTTAATTAAAAAAAACCTCTGATTTAAGAGCTTTGTTTTGAGGTTAAACGCTAAAGGAATAAAAAGCATAAGGTATCTTAGTCCTTACTCTTTTATCCTATGCTTGCCAATCTAGTGCCTATGAACTGTCTTAACTGCCCACCACAGTTGATAAGATATGTGCTTTCTCATAATTTTTAATATGAACGCTCAACCCAGAGAAAATGAGTTGTAAACTATTTTGGAGTGGTTGCTGTTGATGCCACTTTTCTGTTATTTTAATAATAGAAGAGTGAGAGGGGGAGAACACCTAGAAATCATAGTACCTTTTGGGTAGAATCATAATGGAGGAACTATTCAGAATATTTTTATGTGATGATTCAGTTGTTTTCATCTGTAGACTAGCCTCATTTCTCCTGTGTAATCTTTAATCAGCATTGCAATATGATTAATTAAAGAAGATAAACAAATTAGTTTTGGCACTTTTATCAACTCTAAGGAAAGATTTAAGGGAGGAAATGTTTGTATATTCAAATAAAATAAGATTTTTGAATTTTTGCTTGTTACCCATGGTTAAGAATTGGCTATACACTGCTAAGGTAGCTTGAAACTTATTTGTTTCTCTGTCCCTGTGAATCTCTCATATATAAAATGCTCACATACTTAAATTAGCATGAATGAGAAATAGGGACCTTGGCCAGCATAGTGGCTCACACCTGTGATCCTAGCACTTTGGGAGGTGGAGTTGGGAGGATTGCTTGAACCTAGGAGTTTTGAGACTAGCTTGGGAAACATAGCTAGACGTCATCCCTACCAAAAAATCAAAAAGTTAGCTTGATGTGGTGGTGAGCGCCTGTACACTCAGCTACTTGGAAGGCTGAGGCAGGAGGATCACTTGAGCCCAGGAGTTGGGGGCTATTGGTAAGTCATGATCCTGCAACTACACTCCAGCCTGGATAACAGAGTAAGACTCTGACTCAAAGAAAAAAAAAAGAAAAAAAGAAATAGGGACCTGAAGCAGGAAAAGACAGTCTAGTTCTGGGTAAAGTTGATGAGCCATTTAGTGATAAGAGAAAGTTGATAACTAAGCTATTGCAAATAACATTTTCATGTGTTTATTAGCACAGTTTGATGTTACCTTTTTATTAATTTGATCCTTCCAATTTCTGCATTATTTGCAGAACTGTATTAAGATTCGGGGAAAATCAAAGTATCCATGTGTCATTTCTACTCCCTTGTAATTATTCTTACAGCAGACTCCAGCAATGCTAGAGGTTACGGAAGTTGAGTTTATTTACTTCCTATTTCCCATCTGTAGGCCCACCCGCTTCAGTGGATCAGGGCCGGAAGAAAGCACTTAATGTGGCGTCCCCTTCTGGTTCAATACTTTAGTAGAAACTACACTGTTTCTAGGAGTGAATGGTGGTGTAGACTAGTACTTAAAAGACATGAGGTAGCTGTTGGTACTATTGCTGAATGCTTGTATGGGGGCTAGGCTGGGTGATTTCTTGTCTTTTTTAGCTCAAACATTCTATGATTCTAAGACTCTGATTTTATGTGAAAACAAGTAATACATTTTATGCTGAAATGTACTAAATTATCTAGCAGATTTAGCCTGATAATCTGTATTTCTCTCTTTTTTTCTTTTATAAAATTATATAGAACTGCTATGATCTTCTGGTCAGAAAGAAAAGACTTATTGTTCTCTTCAGCCACTGGTTGCTTCATGCCTATGGAATAATCTCCATTTCCAGATTGGATAAGCTTGAGCAAGATTTACCCCTTTTGGCTTTGGTACCTACACCAGCTCTTTTTTACTTGTTCACTGCAAAATTTACTGAACCTTCACGGATACTCTCAGAAGGAGCCAATGGACACTGAACATAAAAATGTAAAATGCCAAAAACCTGAGAAGTGTTCCTAATAAAAAAGTAAAGAATTTTTAAAAAATGTATTAGTACTATTCTGTCATACATGAGGGCAAGATTATCAGCATATCTTAAAGTCTGGGTTTTTGCTTTTTTGTTTTTGGCTTACCAGATTTTATAGTTAGACTTATAGCTGGGGAAGAACAAAATATCCTAATACTCTGTTATACAGTATAATAGTATCAATTACACTAAAAGCCTTTTAGGAAGCACTTGCCTCTTTCAGCAATTAAGTTATTCTTTAGAGCAAAACCATTGTTCTGAGTATCTGGCAATGTGTTATTCCCATTTTATTAAGAAAAACTTTAACAAATATAATCTGAAATTCTTAGCAGTGGCATAATTGTGCATGTTTATTGGTTTTCAATTTGTTTTCACCTGTAATTAATTATAAAGACATACTTGTGGGGTCAGATAGCAGATAGAAATAAAGTATATTGTTTTTTGTTATCTATTTATTTTCACCAATACATATTTTGATATACTATGAAAATAGAGCATAATTTATAGAACAGGTTTTTTGCTTATAAATAGTTTGGTTGAAGACTTGTTTAGATCATTTTTCCTGTAAAGAAAACAATAATAAAAAGCTTAACTACACAAAATCTAAGTGTTCTGCCATTGAATAGTTTTTTGGAACAATAATTATGGAAGTAATTCAGAATTTTAAGTAGTAAGATTAGTGTCTCTTTCCCAAGTGAATAAATACTTGTACTTACATATATTTTCGTTCTTCTTATATCTTATTTTTGAAGGATATATGTACATACCATATTTTATCCATTCAGAGACACATTTTTTCACAGTTTTGACATCTCTGAATTAGGGTACACCTTATAATCAATGGTTTCTTAGATTTAATGAAATAAAGAATATACAGTATATAAACAGTTTTCCTGTGGTTGGTTTGTAATAGGTGTGCTGTGATGTTTAGGCTCTGAAGTCTTCAAGAGATTCATGGCCACAACCATGGAAGTGATATAAAAATTTTAACACTAATCTAATGTATATCCATTTGTATTGTTTAGAAGTTTATTTACTGGCCAGGCGCAGTGGCTCAGCCTGTAATCTCAGCACTTTCGGAGGCCAAGGCAAGAGGATTGCCTGATCCCGGGGATTCGAAACCAGCCTGAGCAACTTGGTGAGACCTTGTCTCTACAGTAAATCACAAAAACTAGCTGGGTGTGGTGGTGTGAGTCTGTAGTTCCAGCTACTTGGAAGGCTGAGGCGGAAGGATCACCTGAGCCCAGGTAGAGGCTGCAGTGGCCATGAGCTTGCCACTGTACTCCAGCCTGGGTGACAGTGAGACTCCAACTCAAAAAACAAAACCAAAAAGGTTATTTACTGATTCTGCTACTTGGTGGGGGTTGGTCAAGTTAGTTTAATCTCATACTTTTAAGACTTCTCCATTAACAATGGCAAAATATGAAAGTACGTGTACTCACTTTTCCTGTAGTTTTGTTTATGTCTTGAATTCATAGCAGTTGTGTCCTTGAGTTATTTTGTTAGTTTAGTTTTGGTTAATGTGTTTTTTCTAGTACATTTACCTGCTGGGAAATGTACTGTTTTGGTATGGATGTGTTTCTTCTTTTCTGTAGAAATAAAAATAAAGTGTAAAGATGCTATTTGTATTTCACACAGGTTTAGGTGGTTATTAATGTTCATTAAAATACTGGGTTGCCCAAAAAGAATCCTCAGGTACAGATAACTGTATAACTGGGGTAGGAGGAGGGGGGAGAGTATCATGTGTTTGATTACCAGGACTGTATTTTCTGGTCCCACTACATTTGGAGCCATTTTAACAATCAATGTGGATGTCCTATTCTGGCAGAAAAATATGTATGCAAAAGAAAAAGTCACGTAAGAAATTGTAATACAAGTCTTCAAAGTCAGAGAAGTTCAGGAATACTTAATACATATCTGCATTTTTAACTTGTTTTGGTAAGAACAGGACTAGAACAATGCATAGCCATTGTGGATGCTAATGTTACTAAATAATTTTTCATGTTATTAAAAATGAAACAGCCCTTATTTTAGCCTTATTATGTTTTGGTGTAGGTTTCTTATAGTGCATTACAATTCTCACTGCTACTGTGTATGGTAATTATTTTGCTAACCAGTCCTGAATAGGTAACTTAAAAGTCAAAATACAGGTTAGTATCCCATATCCAAAAATGCCCGGACCAGAAGTGTTTTGGATTTCAGATCTTTTCAGATTTTGGAATGTTTGCATTATATTTACCAGTTCAGTGTCCCTAATCCCGATATCTGAAATCTGAAATGCTCCAGTGAACATTTTCTTTCAACATCATGTTTGCACTCAGAAAATCTTAGTTTTTGGAACATTTTGGATTTCCAGATCAGAGATACTCAACCTATATTTTCTTGATTAGTTGGGGTCAATTGATAAATTTTTAACAACTACATTGTTATATATTTGTCTAAAACCTTTGGTTTGTAAGTCTTGACTGTACATTGGTGCCACTTGGAGAGATTTTTTAAAAACATGCCTGGGTCCCACCCCCAGAGATTTATGTTGAATTGGTCTGTGATACAGCCTGAGCACAGGGTTTTTTTCTCTCCCATAACCACTTAGTAGAAGGAATCCACTATATTCTTTTTTTTTTGAGTCGTAGTTTCACTCTGTCACCCAGGCTGGAGTGCAATGGCATGATCTCAGCTTACTACAGCCTCGACCTCCTGGGCTCAGGCAATCCTGCCTCAGCCTTCCAAGTAGCTGGAACCACAGGCACACCCCACCATGTCCAGCTAATTTTTTGATTTATTGTAGAGCTGAGATCTCGCCAAGTTTCCCAGACTGGTCTTGAACCCGTGAGCTCAGGCAATCCCCTCACCTTGACCTCCCAAAGTGCTGGGATTATAGGTGTGAGCCACCATGCCTGGCCTCCACGCCCAGCTTCCAATAATAATAGATTTTTTTTTTTTTTTTTTTGAGTTGGAGTCTCACTCTGTCGCCCAGACTGGAGCGCAGTGGCCGCTCCCGGTCACCGCAGCCTCGACCTGCTGGGCTCCGGCGATCCTTCCGCCTCAGCTTTCCAAGTAGCCGGAATTACAGGCGCGCGCTACCACGCCCAGCTGGTTTTTTGATTTATTGTAGAGATGAGGTCTTGCTGCCCAGGTGGATCTCCAACCCGAGGGCTCAGGCAATCCACTCACCTCAGCCTCCCAAAGGCGCGGGATTACAGACTGAGCCACCGAGCCCGGCTAGTAATAGATTCTTACTATTCAATAATCTCTTCTCATGTCTGCATTTCATAGGGTATGCACTTTGGGTTCAAGAACTGAATCTTATTCAACTTTTGTCACTGCAACATCTGCTCCACTGCGAGTGCAAAGGTGCCCTATATGTTAATTAAGGTAGTGGGGTGATCCTGGAAAGGGCAGGCCCTGCAGGGCTGCAGTGACGGATGTGGCCAGAAGAGGCCAGGAGAGAGCTACTGAGCTGGAAGAGATGGAGGGCTTCTCCAGAACAGGGAGCCTACCCAAAGCTGGGAGATTGCAGGTGGCTCAGAGATGGCCAAGAAATTCAAGGGTCCAAACCATACTATAACATCCTGAAGATAGTGATAGATTTTAAGGATCTGATGAGTGTCTACTTTGGGTCAAGTTTTGTATAACTCCTGTTATCAGCAATATTTTACAACTGGTGAGACTGAGGAGTGGAAGTTAAATAACATGTAAGAAGCAGAGCTGGGATTTGAGTCCAGTTCTACCTGGCTCCCAAGCCCACATGGTACCAATGCTCCAGTAGTAATAAGCAGTGCTATGTGGAGCCAGAGATCTTTTTTCTGATCTCGACCCAGTTTCTAGCTTTTCTGAGATCTCTCCCCTGATTCCTTAGCCAGGTTAAGTCTCCCTCTTAAGTTCTCTCACACTTCTTATGCCCCACCTTCAGTATACCAAAGGAAGGCAAATTACAGCCTAAAGGACAATTATGCCACAATGGCAGAGTTGAGTAGTTGCTTCAGAGACTTTAAGGCTGGCAAAGCCAAAAATATTTATTTAGTGGCCCTTGACAAGAAAGTTTGCCAACCCCTGACTAGACTGAATTTCATTTGGGCAGGGACTCTATTTCATTCACTGTTGCAACCCAGGTGTTTAATGAGGCACAGAACAGGCACTCTGTAAATACATTTCAAGTTTCAGTGTGGCCAGTTAGCAACATTTCAGTGGCTGCAAGTAGTACTAATTTTTAAATTAAAATTCTTCCAGTCAATAATCTATTGACTAGAAATAATTTTTAGTAAGATCATGTATTTTTTCATAAAATTTAGTGATATCTTATTTTCTATGACAATTTTATTTTTCCCAGATTGTTACTGTGTAAGTCTGTTCATCACTGTGTGGCCCAGAACAAAAAAATCAGCCTTTATTCTCTTTTGTGGCTCAGTCTATGTGATCCATAGGCTTTGCCATGTTACCAACAAAGCTCAACTACTCTATGACCAGAGAAGAACATGTCAGTGTCAACACTCTAATTCAGAAGTTGGCAAATTTTTCAGTAATGGGTCAGTTTAGTCAATATTTTAGGCTTGGCAGGCCACATGTTCAGCTGTGTTAGAACTTTTCTGTTATAGCACAAAAGCAGCCATAGGAATAGGTAAATGAACAAGCATGGCTATGTTTCAGTAAAACTTTATGGACACAGAAATTTGAGTTTCAAATAATTTTATGGTCTTGAAATACTATTCTTTCGATTATTTTCCCCCAGCCACTTAAAAATATAAAAACCATCCTTATCTCTGGGCCCTACAGAAACAGGAAGGGGGCTGGTTTGACTCCAGGCCATAGTATGCTGACCCCTGCTGTAGAAAATGAACTTGCCTGGGAATCTTTACAACATTATTAACATCTGGGAGAAGTAACTGATACTATGGGGAGTTCAAAACTAAAAGACTCCAAGTTTCAATTTTGCTGCACTGCAGTTCTCATCAATCTGTAAACTTTCCTTAAGGTCTGTGGTTTGGTTATGCCAGTGACAGCTTAAATAGAAACTTTGATCATGGGAGATCTAGGTCAGTGGTCTCCAAACCCTTTTGACCCTCCACATATATCATGTGCCCCAATTAATTTATTCATACATTTATAAATTATAGATCAATGGATGTACAATATTAAACATAGACAAAAATGAAAATTTAAAAAGATAAAAAAATTGAATATAAACACAATTTTCAATATTTGTTTCCTATTTGTAAATTTATCATCATACTCCACTTTGGAGATCATTGGTTGCTCTGAATCTAGTATCCCTGCTGGAGAGTCAACATCATAGCCAATTCTTGACATACCAGCCTTCAGTTATAGTTGGAGAAGTACGAGAATGCTCCGATGTGGTCAGATGTGCAACTTTGTGAGCCCTCTGCCAGAACTGAGCTCCAGGGCTGGATTCTAGATCCAGTCACTCTCCCTTAAAGGGGAACAAGGTAGCTTGTTGGACTGTCCAGATGGGAAAGTCCGGAAAGTAAACAATCATTCAATCTCTCATTTTAGTACTATTTGTTGAGTACCTATTATTGAGTATTGATTTTGCTGTTATGGGCAAGGCACTATGCTATGCACTGGAAGTAAATGGTGCACAAATCTGATGGCCTCTACTTTCTTTCATGGCGCTTACAGACAAAACACAAGTAAACAGAAATGAAATAACCACTAGTTGTAATAAGTACTCCTAAGGAAATACTGACCTAAGATAGAGTATGATAGAGAAGGACACCATTTAGATTGGAGATTCTTATACGGTATCTCTAATGAGGTGACATTTTCATTATTGATCTGAAGAACTGTATGAAGCCAACTTTGACTAGCAGAGGAATGAGTGTTCTAGGCCTACGTGGTGATAGCATATAACACAAGAGGTTCAGCTTAAAGCACAATTACTGCCAATGGTAAATATTTTCAGTTGAAGACTGAATTATTAACTTTGGTTTCTGGAAAAAAATGAGTAGACTAGATAATCTGAAAATCCTCCTTGTATTGTAAGTCACCTGAAAGTGTGGGAAAAGATAACACATGCCCTTTTCAATGCAGAGCTGAACTTGCGAGCAAGCTAGGGAAACCACAAGGGCCAAGCCTTGGGAGTGAAATCCTGAGCAGTGAGAGCATACTTCCTTGGTCTGTAGTGGGTATGGGAGGGGAGGGAGGGCGTGTGTCTCCACAATTAGGAGGTGGTGTCAAGAGGGAAGGCCTTGTGCTTCTTCTAGGAGAAAGCTGGGACTCAAAACTCTCTAAAAGACACTGTTGACCCTTCTGGGGAATGAGGAAGAAAGGAAGGCATGAAAACAGAATTGGATAACAATATTTAAGGAACTTTGATTGCATCTTCCATGTTCTATTTTTTGTGGGGTGGGGCACTAATCCCATGACCCAATATACTAAGTAATGGCCAAATGGTAAGATTTGACAATGCTTCATGATGGATATACAGATATACAGGTGTGTTGTGAGTTTATACTTTTCATACTTAAGACATTTTGAGTAAAAATGCATTTATCTGGAGCAAGTACAACTTGATTAAGAGTCATAATTTTACTTATACTGACTGCCTATCAAAAGAACTTAAATTTTAACTAAATGACTGTACCATTTGGTCTCACACTCATGGCCTCAAGTGATTCTCTCACCTCAGCCTCCCAAAGTGCTGGGATTACAGGCATGAACTACCACATCTGGCCTATGACTGTATTATTTGGATGGAATAAAAATAAATAGCACATTTACTGGATTGTCCTATTATTTATTTCTATTTAGGTTTGTTTTCATTCGAAGCAATCATGACTCTATTTTGAATCAATTTTAAATTGAAAATGAAAATAAAACTTACAATTCCCCACTGAGAGACTAAATTTACAAACTGACAATAGCCAGATCATATGTGGCACTAGAACAGTGACCCACAACTTCTGTAGCAGCAAGCCCAGAACAATTGGGACTTGATCCATTACTGCCAGCTTCTTTATTTTTTTGCCCCTGCTTCTAACTCAGATTGACCAGAGAAAGCCAAATATGCTTCCTAATGGGTCACATAGGATATATGGCTTCTAGTTAGCTTTCCCATGCCAGCACCCTCCAATCAGAACTCACCTCAAGCTTTTCCCTTTTTCCTCCCATAAAGCTTTGCCACTCCCCTATCTGCCTTTGATTCTCTGCCAACAGCAAGTGCTGGTGGCTGCTATGTTTGAATGTGTCCCTGCAAAATTCACATGTTGAAACCGAATCCCCAATTTGAAGGTGTTAGGAGGTGTGGTCTTTGGGAGGTGATTGGGTCATGGGATTAGTGCCCTTATCAAAGAGGCCCCCGAGAGCTGCCTCACCCCCTCCACCATGTTTAGGACATAGGAAAGCACCATTCTATGAACAAGAAAGCAGCCCTCAGTAGACACTGAATCTGCCAGTGCCTTGATCTTGGTCTTCTTAGCCTCCACAACTGTGATAAATACTCTTCTGTTATTTATAAGCTACCCAGTTTATGGCCTGTTGTTATACCATCCCAAGTGGACTAAGTGGCTGACTTCATTCCTATAGCAAACTCTGCATGAATAGTCTCTGCATATTCTCATTTAGGTTGTCTTCCTTTATTTCCCCACTTCTAGTCTCTACTTTCCAAAGATTATTAGTAAGGCAGTCCTCAAAATATGTGACAGAGAATATGGTATTAGTTATTCAGTGAAACCTGTTTTTCAATACAGCCTTTAAATTTGTTCAAACACAAAGAGTCCATCAGGTTTCAGATAAACAATAGAAGATTTGCTCAGTTAGTTCTTAAAATTCTGCTTGATCTACAGTTGAAGGGGATGGCTCAGCCTAGCAAAGGAAACGCAACGAGAAGAGAGGCCCACCAGAGATCCCTCATGTGCTTGACCTTCCTAAGTATAACAAGTCTCATGCAGGACCACCAAAACAGCTTTTCAGCTAACATTCTTCATTGGCCATTGAAACGTTATTTTTTCTGTCAAGCAATACCCTAGAACACAAGTTTTTTATCAAATACTGAAGTTTTAAATCCTATCACTTTCCCTTTTTTAACTTTTATTTCATTTTACTTTCTTCAACCTGTATGTATTTGTGCATTTATTTATGTATTTATTTATTTTTGAGATAGGGTTTCATTCTGTCACCCATGCTGGAATGTAGTGGCATGATCATGGCTCACCACATCCTCAAATTACTGGGTTCAAGTAATCCTTACACCTCAGCCTCCCAGGTAGCTGGTGCTATAGACATGTATCACCATGCGTGGCTAATTTTTCTTTCTTTCTTTCTTTCTTTTTTTGTAGAGATGAGATCTTGCTTTGTTTCCTACACTGATCTTGAACTCTTGGCCTCAAGTGATCCTACTGCCTGGACCTCCCAAAGTGCTGGGATTACAGATGTGGGCCACTGTGTCCAGCCTCAATCTATATTTAAAATTACTTATCTAGTGATTATGCTTTAAAATTAAAACTTAAAGCTGGGCACAGTGGCTCACGTTTGTAATCTCAGCACTTTGGGAGACTAAGGTGGACAGATTGCTTGAGCTCAGGAGTTTGAGACCAGCCTGGGCAATGTATCGAGACTTTGTCTCTACAAAAAAAAAACAAAAAAATTATCCAGGCATAGTGTCATGTGCCTGTAGTCCCAGCTACTTGAGATGAGGAGGTGGACGGATCATCTGAGTCCAGGAAGTCGAGACTGTTGTTGTGACCATGTCACTGTACTCCAATGTATGTGACAGAGTGAGACCCCAACTCTAAATACATAGTAAATAAATAAATCCTGAATAACCTCTGATAAATTTGTACACTTGCCAGATGATATTATTTTGTTTTATCACTTCATCTCTCCTCTATACTCTGTCTTCTTTCTCCCTAGCTTGTGCTACCCCTATCATCTCACATTTCCAGGTGACTCCACCATAGTTTTGAACCCTGGCAAGGCATTTCTCATGGCATCCCTAATCTGGACAGAGTTTTCTGGTCTTGTCTAACATGACATTGTTATGGGGAATCAGGATGAATTTGATATGCCTTTGGAGAGACTGGGCTGTTTGCCCATATTACCCAGGCATGTGTGTTACCCAGAATGTGTTAACATCTCAGAAGCCTTAGAAGACATTACTGCTTTTTTAGAGAAGCCAATAGTTGCTGTTTTTAGTTCAGGAAGAAGTAAATTATGTTCAATTTTTTTCTGTTTAAGAAGACAAGAAAATATGTAAAAGAATTTAAGAAGATCTTTCTGGAAAATGTTTAAAATAAGAATTTTTTAAATCATAAAGATATTAAGATTCAGTTATCTAGAAAATTCTCTTTGGCAAAAGGGAGAATTGGCTAACACTGCTTCACTACTGTATTCAACTCACAAGTAAGTATCAATGTTCAGTTGAATGTTTGTGACATTATTAGGGATAACTAAGTTAAATGATTGACACTTTTCCCCTTTCTTTTGATGTCAGCAGCTATAGTAAAATAGCAAGAGATCCTATGTTACCAAAAGCTCTAAGTTGTTGCTTACTAAGGAGGTCCACTTGTGACTCCTGTTTCATAAGAGAATACAGCTCTCCAAGATTCCCTTGTAGCCAGGTACTGATGTTCTCGATTTTTTCATCTCTTTCATGTAGCTTGTCTGCTAGATTTTTTATGTCTTGCAAGGTCTCTTCACCGTTGTTCATTAAGCCCTTAAAGAAATGGTGTTTTGGAGCGTGTAAATATCAATTGCAACAAAATAAATAAACCATATTCTGCCTAAGTGGATCATGTCCAAAATAAAAATATTATGCAAAATTGGTATTCATCATATAAGCAATGTGTATACATAGCTTTACAAAGTTCTCATAAAAATGAATTATCAAATGAGAAGTTTTAATAAAATCTCATGAAACTGCTCCCACCCCATGCCTTTTAAAAGCAGGATTTATTGAGTGGACAGAAAAGCTTCCACAGTGGGAGGGGACCCAAAGGGGTTGCCCAAAACCCCAATATTTCACAAGACATGGTAGTGGTGGTGGCACAAAAGCTAGTTCACCTTCAGAGTTGTGCAAAACCATAGAGGTTCAGCTTAAGAGTAAGAACTTTGGAATCAAGTAGGATCTGAGTTTTATTCACTGTTTGGTCTTGGACAAGTTACATAAACTCTCTGAGCCTCAGTAGCTTCATCTGAAAAATGCATAACGGACACTTTCCTTATCCAGTGTTTTAAAGGTTGAGTTAGGATTACATGTAAACTTTAAATACTTAGAAAGTAGCAGAGCCAGGATTGAAACCACAGCCTCCCTGATACTAAAGTGAGGCAGAAAGGAGATGTTGCACGGCTGGTAAAACCTGAAGACAGAGGGAGTTCTGAATTGACAACTTCGTCCTAAAACAAAATGTTTCATTTAAGCTTGCAAAAGAGAGAGTCTTTTCCACTTCAACTGAGTGGTAGTGTAGGCAGACAGTTTTGTCACAAAGTTAAGATTTCACAGTGACATTTGGCACAAAGGACACATTTTAGGCCATGATGGTCACACCAACTCTGCACTCCCCTGCAGTCCTGAACTCCTACCCTTATATGTGGGCACATGTGTACACACACACACACACACACACACACACACACACACACACACACACACACAATTATTAGGTAGGTGAACATTTTGGGAAATAAAATACTTACAGAGGCAACACAGAAAACTCACCTTAACCATGGTCTGAAATTCAGTCCACAAATCCATATATTGTGCTAAAATAAAGATTTAAAAATATAAGTTACTGAAACCATTTGAACATTTTAATAAAAGTAATACTATTTGTTTTTATTTTTTTCAAAACTTATTTTTATCTAAAAATTTCTTCATCTAAAATGACAGAATAACTGAATTGAACTTACCTTCCCAATGCAAACAAACAGAAAAATAGAGGCAAAATCTATTAAATGAATGTTTCCAGATGCTGGAGAATAGACAGCACAGGATAGTGACACCTGGAAGAACGGGGACCAGGAAGGTGAGTCCTGTGATCACCCGGCTTTCTGCCCTGGAGTACTTTCTGAACCACAGCACAGGCAGAGGGAATTGGGGACAGCGGAGGTTCTTACAGACACAAACGTCTGCACAAAGATTAGCAAATTGAAGCTAGCAACAGATAAATAAGTAAACAAACAAACAACAAATAAATGAAAAAGCTTTGGGACAAATGGACTGTGCCAGGAATTGAAGATTGTTTGAGCATTCAAAAATTAACCAGTGCAACTTACCACACTTACAGAGTAAAGGAGAAACCCCATCTGAGCATCTCAGATGTCTGAGTAGCTGAGGCCAGTCACATGGGCACCTCATGCCTACAAGACTGACACCAATAGATTCCCTGGACACCCAATCTTGGATGAGCCTCTCTGGTCAACAACACGTGCATGCCTGGTCACATGTTGTTGCTGGGGACATCAGTGCATCCCTGTGGCTCCCCTGGGAGAGGACGCCAGGAACCTTGTGCCTGGTTTCCCCCATACTTTGCCCTCTGTGTTTCCCTCTGCTGATTTTACTCCATATCTTTCACTGTAATAACAAAAACCACAAGTATAACAACTTCCGAGTCCTGCAAATCCTTCTAACTACTCAAGTCTAAGGGCAGTCCTGATACTACACTAGAAGCTACAAAATCTTGTTGAGAAGACCTAGATAAATGGAGACGCATACTGCATTTTTCAACTGGAAGACTTAATTTTGTTAAAATGTCAATTCTCTCAAACTCATGGCCTACAATCTTCCCACCTTAACCTCCCAAAGCATTGTAATTACACGTATGAGCCACCATGTCCAGTCCCAATAAAATAGATTTAAAGAAAATAAAAGCTATTTGTCAAAAGCATCCATGACACCTGACTTACCCTGCTGGGCTATCAGTTGCTGAGACAGGTCACTTGAGGTGTGCGTGAGGGCTTCTTGTCCTTCTCTGTATTTTGCTATGTTGTTCTTCATGTATAAAATATACTGAAAATTAAAAGTGTATGATTGCTTTTAGCAGTTTAGTAAGATTAATTTCTATGTAGTCACTCAGCAAATGTATAAATTCCTCCTCTGTGCCACCCACTGTCCTAGGTTCAAGGGTAATAGTGGTTAATATAAATGCCCTTGTCAAGCTTCCTTCTGAGGAGAGAGATAAAGGATCCTGCTTCCTAGTAAGCATTTCAACATCCAAATAAACATGGCATTCCAAGTCTAATTTTCCACAAGAAAAGACATTAACGGGTGTTCTACCTGAATGCGTCATGTCCACAACAAAAATATTCCTTATGCAAAATGTGTACAGTAGCTGTCACAAAGCACTAATGTGGCCAGACTGGAGTTTAACCTAAGGCCTCAGAGAAATGATTGACTGGGTCAAGAGACCACTGGAATTTCTCTCTCAAGTCAGATGTTTTATTGGGTTGGGTGACAGTGGTAGTAGTAGTAACAGGTGACTTAGGTCATTAAAGTCATGGTTTTCTGTTCTGACTACCCAGTGCTCAGAAACTCTAATATCTCTGGGAACTCTGAAAGGATGAGATTTGGATAAACTTGACTCTAGTCCAGCTTCAATAAAGAAATAGTTAAATACTATAACTACTGATACAAATTTTAGAAATAGTGTTTGGTGCCACAGATGTGGTAGACACAGGACTGCTGCATAGGACTACTTATAAGCATGCATTATGGGATCTACTCATGTATCTTTGATCTTATGTCAGTCTTTTTGTGGCTTACTTGGTGAAAAGCCACCTTAAGCCAAGTCCAAGGCATCATTCTTGCCCCTCTTTGAACATGGATCCTTGTTTAAAGACTTGCCTAGTTCACCTGGATTCTCATGTTTCTCCCAAATTCTCTCTTAGTCTTCCTTTTGATTTCCTCTTCAGCAACTCACTCCTTCAAAGTTTTTTTTTTTTCTTTTTGAGTCAGGGTCTTGCTCTATTGGCACGGCTGGAGTGCAGTGGCATGATCATGACTCAGTGCAGTCTTGACCTTCTGGGCTCAGGAGAGCCTTCTGCCTCAGCCTTTCAAGTAGCTGGGTCTACAGGCGTGTAGATTATTTATTTATTTTTATTTTTTGTAGAGACGAGGTCTTGCTATATTGCCTAGGCTGGTCTCGAACTTCTAGGCTCAAGCAATCCTTCTGCCTCAGCCTGCCAAAGGGCTGGCATTACAAGTGTGAGCTGGTCACAAAGTTGTTTTTCTCCACGGTTATCTTCTCATTCAACACACTGTCCCTGAAAAGACTCACCCATTTCCCAGGTATGAATCCTGCCTCTATACTAATGATACCCAGGTGAGGCTTCTTCCCCCAGCTCCTAATTTGGTGTGGCTATGTATCCTTGATCTGAGGCACTGTATGAGTTCTCTCCAGATTGTTGCACTTAACATACTGAATTGTAATTATCCACTTACATGTGCATCTCTTCAGCTAGACTACGAACTTCCTAAGAGCTGGGGCAGTATCTTACTTATCTCTGTGTTCACTAGGCCTTGCCGTATCCTTGGGACTCAGTAGGTGTTTAAAATGAAAGAATGCGATCAACACAACAGTGGTGAGTGAATAAGAAAACAGAACAGCCTTATCCAGTAACTAGTATATTGAAGCACAAAACAGGATTTTAAGAATTAGTTTTTCTGTAATACACATTTGTTCACGCATTGCCAACACAGCAATAAAAATTCCAATTTTAAAAATAATCTATATTTTCCTAACAAGTTTGTTTCCAGGTCTAGAAGAATGAAGACATGTTGCCTGTGTGAGGGTTAATGAAAATGGTATGTACCTAGGCTCTTTGGAACACAAATACCTTTTCATAGTACGTTAGTAACTATTATGCTATTTTATCTTTCAAAATAACACACGAGAGTGATGGGATAACTATTGCCATTTAACAGATGAAAAAAATTACCCAGAGAGGTGAAGGAGTTTTCTTCATGCCATTGGACTAGCCAGTGGCAGCGTCAGTTCCTCTTATGTAAAGTCACATTGCTGTGGGACTGTCTGTTTTTATTTTTCCAGCTAAGAAAAATTCTAAAAAGGCCAAGCATAGTGGCTTATGCCTGTAATTTCAGCTCTTTGGAAGTGCAAGGCAGGAGGATTGCTTGTGCTCAGCAGTTTGATACCAGCCCAGGAAAAAAAGAAAGACCCCATCTCTACAAAAATAAAAAAAATTAGCCTGGTGTGGTGACATATGCCTGTAGTTCCAGCTACTTGGGAGGTTGAGGCAGAAGGCTCTCCCGAGCCCAGAAGGTAGAGGCTGTGGTAGCCATGATCGTGCCACTGCAGTCCAGTCTGCGTTACAGAGTGAGATTCCAACTCCAAAAAAAAAATCTAAAAAGAAAATATAGAGCCTTAGTCTCCTTATCTATAAAGGAGACATAATGCATTATTTATTTTATAAAGTTATCATGAACATTAAATGAGATGGAGTCCCTCTGACATTTCAGGTATTCCATGAGGTCATTATGATTTACCAAAAATTTTAAAAATTGCATTTCTCTTGCACTTTCAGCTTACAAAGCAGTCACATTAACCCTGTGAGTTAGAAGTTATTCCCATTATAAGAGGACAAAAAGAAGTTCACAGTTAAGTGATCTGCCCAGAGTCAAACTGTGTCACTGGTGAGTGACAGAATTTAATCCAGGTCTTTCAAACTAGAAAAAATTGTATAAACTTTTGTTATTATTGTTTTATAACAGTATATATGTGTACTTTGAAAAAATATATGCTTTGAATGCAACAGTTTGGGCTTTAAAAATCAGTCATATAAGACTTATTAAACATAACATTTATAACACTAAAATAAGTACCTCTTAATTATAAGTAAAACAATCTTTTGCGATTAAGATTAAAATTAAAGTTGAGACTTTAATTTTAGGGGCTAGATAAATGAATTCCTTTGCTATAACAGAACTACAATCAGTATGAAACAGACAATATAATTTTTTTAAGTGGGCAAAAGACTAGAACAGGCACTTCACGAAGAAGGACATCCAAGTAGCCAACATCATAGGAACAGTTGCTGCAATAGTCATCGGAAGAATGCAAATTAGTGGGGCACCACTACACAGCCACCAGAATGGTTACATTGAAAAGGACAGTTTTGATGAGAATTTGGAGCAAATGGTGCATTGCTGGTGGGAGTGGTGGTTGGTGCAATTCCTTTGAGAGGCTGGTGATAAGTATCAAGTGGAAGACATGTATACCTATGGCTCTGCAGTTCTACTTGAGATGTATGCCCAACAGAAATATGTATGTTTACCAAATGTATGAATTTGGTAAACATACATTTACCAAATGTAGAATGTTCATAGCAACACTATTTGTAATAGCCAAAACTTCGAAATTCTTCAGACACCCACCAACAGTAGAGTGAATAAATAAATTGTTCTGGAGTCATACAATAGAACATCATACAGAACTAAAACTACCGTCAACAATCAGGATAAACCTCACAAACATAATGTTGAGTAAAAGAGTGTATACAGTATCATTTCTACACATACAGTGTTCAAAACCAGGCAAGACTAGTCTATGGTGTTAGTATAGTGGTACTCTTGTGGGGGTGGTTAGTGACTGGAAGGGACAGAGAATGTCTGGATACTGTTATGCTTTGCTTCTTGATCTGGATGCTGGTTACATAGGTGTGTTCACTGACCTGTATATTTATGATTTGGGTACTTTTCTGTAGGTATTTTATGCTTCATTAAAAATGGTTTAAGAGCTATTCTCTTCTTTTCTTTCATAACAGTTACAGTTCTAATCAGTCAATCAAAACCATCCTGCAAAGTGAGGTGCCTTGAACTTACTTCTTTTAATCTTTTATTTTCCAGGAGCAAGAGGTCTGCTTTTTGGTCATCTATATAGATTTCATTTTCTAAATTCTTTAGAATTTCAAAATGATCTTTGGTTTTTGTGCTTTCTTGATCTCGTAATTGTTTTAACTCTTGTTGTACTGCCTTCTGCTCAAACATAAAAGCCACAATTATCTCACAGAGTTCAAAGATCAGGGAAGCAGGGTATTAGACTGCCTATATCACACTCAGAACAGAATTCAACATTAATTCTCGAATAACTGAACTGAAACTATGGACATCTCTCCTGAGAAAATCCTGTCAACCCCAAAGCTGATTCATGAACATTATTCATTAACATTATCTGTGGACCCCAAGCTAAGAACCCTAGATGCCGGCCAAGACAACTTCATAAAATAGGAAATAAAGGTAGCCCTCTGTATCTGTCAGTTCTGGGTCTGCAGGTTCAACCAATCACAGATTGAAAATGTTCAGAAAAATCAAAATAAAAAAATAACAATACAAATAATACAAATAAAAAATACACATAACACCTACTTATATAGCATTTACATTATGTTAGGTATTGTAAGTAATCTAGAAATGATAGTATACCAAAGGCTATGCCTGGGTTATATGCAAATACCACACCATGTTATATAAGGCACTTGAGCATGGATTTCTTTTCTTTTCTTTTTTTTTTGAGTTGGAGTCTCACTCTGTTGCCCAGACTGGAGTGCAGTGGCCGCTCCCGGCCACCGCAGCCTCGACCTGCTGGGCTCCGGTGATCCTTCTGCCTCAGCCTTCCAAGTAGCTGGAACTACAGGCGCGTGCTACCATGCCCGGCTAATTTTTTGATTTATTGTAGAGATGAGGTCTTGCCAAGTTGCCCAGGTGGGTCTCGAACCCGTGGGCTCAGGCAATCCACTCACCTCAGCCTCCCAAAGGCGTGGGATTACAGGCTGAGCCACCGAGCTTGGCTGAGTATGGATTTCAATATACACGGGGATTCTGATTACCAAAACCCCCCATAGAGAATGAGGGCAACTGTACTTAGATAAATGAACAACTATCTGGCAAAAATGGAGAAGGATTTATTGAGGCCTCTAAAGGAAGATAATGTTTCTTGAAAGAAAAAGAATACTTCATAGATTTTTCAGAATTTTCTACTGTTTCCTCTACTGAATACTATCTGATTCTCTGTTATTGTGCTATCATAAATAACCTGATATTTATTCATGTAGAATCATCACCAGCAACATCTTATAAAGAAAATGAAACTGTATATTTATTAAACTTGTAATTTTCTCCTTCATAGAACTGTATATTTACTATACTTGTAATTTTCTCTACATATTCCTTCATATTTCATAACATAGTAAGAATTACTTTTTGATATCAGTGTATCTCAAAGAATAAGATGTTTCCATTTTAAATTAAGCAACTCCACATATATACTGTATTGTTAACCCTATTGATTATTAATTTTTAAAAAGTAGTAAACACCTCTTTACTTGTTCCTAGTTTATCCACTCCTCTTCACAATCTCTACCCACTCTTCCTTAAAAAGCAGAATCAGCCGGGCTCGGTGACTCAGCCTGTAATCCCGCGCCTTTGGGAGGCTGAGGTGAGTGGATTGCCTGAGCCCGCGGGTTCAAGACCCGCTTGGGCAACATGGCGAGACCTCGTCTCTACAATAAATCAAAAAATCAGCCGGACGTGGTAGCGCGCGCCTGTAATTCCGGCTACTGGGAAGGTTGAGGCAGAAGGATCGCCGGAGCCCAGCAGGTCGAGGCTGCGGTGGCCGGGAGCGGCCACTGCACTCCAGTCTGGGCGACAGAGTGAGACTCCAACTCAAAAAAAATAAAAAAGCAGAATCAAATCTCCCCTTATAAATAAGAAAACTGAGGTCCCCCTCACTGATTTTTCCAATATCACATGTTAGTTGGTTCCAGTCTCCCTCTCTTCCTCTTTCTCTGTATGTATATAAACACACATATGTATCTAAGTGTACATGTATATTCATATATATGTGTGTGTATGTGTGTTGTGACTAAAATTTTAAAACATCAGCATTGAAAGGATACGTTTAGTAAATGTAGACTTCATAAAACTTCAGTGGTGCCAGGCAAATATTGCTGGCTGTATATGCCAATATTCTAATAAGAGAAAGGATTACTACATGGACCCTTTACCATGTCATTCAAGTATCTTGATAAGTCCCTCGTAAACTGATAAATGTAATTATTCAGTAAATTTTCCTCCTGTTTTTGTGCTATTAAGAGAAAAGAGAAAAATATAATTATCTTAAAAAGTATTTAGCTAAACAAACCAATCAAAGTAAGACACGAGCCTGTTTTAAAAGTCAAATACTATTACAAGACTTAAAACAAAAACCAGTTGTCAGGTGCTCCACAATGCTATGTCTACCCCTGTGTCTGGTTCCTCAGAATCACCACTTTAAACTTATTTTTAGTGTTTCTTGTTCCATTTAGCTCAATTTTCTTTAAAAAATGCATATATGAATATTTCTTGATGTATCATTTTGGGATATTTTCTACTTACTTCTTCATGTAGTAGAGGATGCATGCTTACTTCCATCCCCATATCTCCTCATTTATACTCACAACCTCTTCATTTCTTCCCTCTAACCTCCCTATAAAGTATGGTTTTTGCTTAAATACATGTTAACTGTTCAGAGCTTTATGAAAATGTAAGGATTATTCACTAATGCGCCAAATGGTATTAGTATCACTATATTTCCTTTCTTTGTATAATTTTTTTGTCTTTCCTGGAATTAAAAATGTGTTCAGTGTTTCATTTACATATTAATTCATACCAAAATCTCCAAAAGAATTGTAAAGTCTTTCTAAATATTCTTTCTTGTATAATCAAACACATTAACAAATCTATTAGTTCAGTTTATCTCCCCTCCCTTGCCACTCTTAGCTATGCCTTCAGAAGTCCTCTTTGGGCCTGTTTTATAGCTATATTCTTGAAATTTCCCTTGCATTTTTTAAAATGTTGGACCTCCTGATTTCTGAATTTCTTAGTCTACTTTTTCCCATTGATTTATTCCCTCTATTTGTTAAAAGCAAATTCTGTACTAGCTTTATGGAAAAGGGTAAATGAGATAAATGTTTGAGATCGTGCACATCTAAATACTTGTATGTCTCTAGTCTATGTTTATACTCGATTGACAGCTTAGTTAGGTATCTAATGTTGAAATTACTTTCCCTCGGAATTTTGGAGACCACTGTCTTATAACTTCTGGTATAATGTTGCTGTTTAGAAGTGTAAACTCGTTTGAATTTCAAATATTTTGTGTGAGATCTGCTTTTTCTCTCTAGAAGACTTTAGAAACTTTCCTTTTGAAATACCACAATAATGTGGCTTAGTCTTTTCTTTTAAATATGGTTCTGGTGATTTGATTGGACCTTTCAAATTGAAAACTTATGTTCTTCAGTTAAGATAATTTTGTATTATTTCTTTGATAATTTTATCCTTTCTATTTTTTTCTGTTCTTTATTTGTCTCACTGTTAATTAGATATTTGACATCACAGAATAGTCTTTTAATTTTCTTACCCTTTTCTCCTCTTGTCTCTTTATTATTGTTGTTGCTCTATTTTTAGAGAAATTTCCTGAACTTTTCTTTTAATTTTCCTATTGAATGTTAAAATTTTAGTTATTATACTTTTAATGTCTAAGTTCTTTATCGTTCTCCGATTGTTCTTTCTTTTAAGCAGTCTGTACTTTTTTCATAAATGCAATATCTTTATTTCTCTAAAAAAAAAAAAACCAACAAAACTTTTTAAAGGATTCTTATCGGCCATGTTTCTACCATGTTCCCTTGTTCTGTATGCTTTTTTTTTTTTTTTTTTTCCTTTTTTTGAGTTGAAGTCTCACTCTGTCGTCCAGGCTGGAGTGCAGTGGCACGTTCATGGCCACCGAAGCCGCGACCTGCTGGGCTCAGGGGATCCTTCTGCCTCAACCTTTCAAGTAGCTGGAACGACAGGCACGTGCCACCACGCCCGACTAATTATTATTATTATTTTTTTAATAGAGATGAGGTTTTGCCAAGTTCCCCAGGCTGGTCTCAAACCTGTGGGCTCAGGCAATCCTCTCACTTCAGCCTCCCAAAGTGCTGGGATTATGGGTGTGAGCCACTGCGCCCATGCTTTGGTTTCTGTCTTCCACACTGGATGCTTCAGATATCTAGTAGTCTTTGTCAATCCCATTGAAGAGTGAGACACTAAAAGGTTCAACTCTGGGATGGGCTTCACTGTACACGTGGTCAGGAAGGGACCAGCCATTTTGTGCTGCTGTGGGGCTTTTCTCTGAACTGTTCAGTTTCCTTAGAGGAAGACCCAATAGTCTCCTTCTTCAGGGTGGGGTAAGGGATTACGGAGGAGTCACAGCACAACTGGCTGGCAGCATTCATCATGCTGAGCAGTGGAGAGAATCTCAGAAGAGCATCTGTCTTCTACCCCCAGTCACATCTAATGCCTTGTGGTTTGGAACTATCTGGTCCAATTTCTTTGTCATCACTGAGGAGAAGGAGTTTGCTGCACAAAGACAGGATTTGACCTGGAGGTCTAACTGCTCTTTGTAAAGACTTTCAGTCAAATCTTCAGCTCGTAACTCACCTCAACTTTCACAGTATCAAGGTACTTCATGCCTGTAACTTCCTAGCTTCTGTGGAGATAACTTTTTGTCTTTATGGAGTATGATTTTGACTAATTCATACAATAATTTAGAGTAAAAGATAAGTTTTTTGAGGGGGGAGAGTTTTGTCTTCAGTCTCTTGATATTCATATTTCTCTCTGCTAATACCTCTATCCAATTACACCTTCCCAAAATGTTAGTTATTATCAGATAATAAATAATAATAAATCAGCAGATAATAAATATCTTCTCTGTCAGTCTCTAGTACTTATGGGTTTGTAGCTTTTTAAAAACTTTTCAACACACTTTTGCAAAGTTTCATGAGGAAGCAAAGATATACACATGTATTTCATTCATTAGATTTAACTAAAAGTTACAACACTGTGCTTGTATTGAGCTCAGGCATTCTGTTTTCTGTAAGTGTAATTGCTGAGGAGTACACTTTCCTGCTCTTAAGTTCCCTTTCCTTCCTTTCTCCTGTCTCCCCCTCTTTTCTCTACTTCAGCATGTTCTCTCTTTTCTTCACATTAAGAGATTTAGTACTTGCAATGTACTTCTTTCTTTTATACTTACCATGTTTCTTATCTCCTCTGCCTAGTACAAGAAGGGATAGGAGGACTGGTTGGAGAAATAGAAAGCTGGCACTGAGGTAAGCATTGTAAGTCTGGGTGAAAGTGGCAAAAAGTCAAGAAAAACTACCTAACTTGACAAAATGAAAACCTGACAAGAAGTGGAAAACCAACTGAGGACCAGGAACTATAGCAATTACCCAGGTACTTATTATTGTAATGTTCTTATATTCTTAGGAATCGACCTTCCTTAGCAGTAATCACTATTCCCTTTTGAATATTAGTTTATTTCACACTTGAACATATTAGGTTTCCATATGTTGTTCTATTTTGACACAGACAATTTAATTTCTATCCCCATATTTGTCCTTGTTAGTCAGTCATTCCTATGCCAATGGACATTTTTTGCTACCATTTCAGTCCTTTCTATAAATTTGATCCTGGTCTTCTGATTCCTATGCCCAGAAGATACTGGAATTCTGGAATTCTGGAAACTGTTACTACTTAAAGATCTGCACAGACTCCTTAAATAATTATCTTTTTCTCCTCAAATGCATGATAAGCCTCAAACCTCTGGATGATTCTGGATGAGGAAATGCTGGGTTCAGAGCTGAATGATCACATCTAAGTTTTGTGGAGAAAATAATTATTTTTTTATTAAACATGCATGATTATTCTATGTAATATAATTCAAAATATGCTTATCTTCAGACATATTTCACATCCTTTACTAACCCCCAGATCTGAGACACACTCTTTCTTACCTGTCTCTGCCCTTGGGGAAAGTTAGTGAAAAAAATCTGAGGATAAATGGTTAAAGTTATAGTTGGAAATAAGATATAATTTGCAAGGTCATGTTAAGAAACAGAAACAATTCTCCACAGGATAGCAGATAAATTAGTTCTACCTTTGCCAAGTATGGAGAGAAAGAACATAATATAATGAACTTCTAATTTTAAATTTTAAATAGTCTTTAAAAGAGAGAAGGAAAAAATTGACAATAGCAACAGTAGAATTGTAGTGTGAAGGAGAAATTAACAAATAAGGCAAAAACTAGAGAATAGACGGTTAAAGATGATGGGAAAAGCTGGATGAGTGTCACCATTGGCTTGTGATTGATGACTCGCTTTATGCGAGACAACAGCAATGACATCTTACCTGGAATTGAGGTTAACTACTAAATGCTTCATATGTACCTGTAACAATATTACTCAGCTCTTCCAACCTTCTATGTTTTTTGCTATATTCTTCTTCTGCCTCCTGAAGTTGTGGAAGACATTCAACTAATTCTTCTTCCTTTTCTTTGTTAATTTGTGCTTTCTTAACGAATATTTCCTTTAAAGAAAATAAAGCTAATTGAGAAGTATGATTTTGACTAATTCATACAATAATTTAGAGTAAAATATAAGTTTTTTGAGGGGGGAGAGTTTTGTCTGTCTTCATCTTTTTTTGTCTGTAGGTGCATAGAAAGTTATGTGGTACATACTAGTTGTTTAATAAATATTTGTTGGCTGACTCACCTGCTCTCTGGCAATCTGTAAAGTAAGGAAATAAGATTCAATTTGCTCACTAAAGATCCTTTCTGTTCTATATCTCTATTAATGCTATCATATACACAGCCCAAAAACATATTTGAGAAAATTTCCTTTGGTAATATTTTACCAAAAAAAAGGGCAGAAAAACAGAATACACAAGTTCTATGAAATGTGGATGTAAGAAATGGGGAGGGAGTAGAAATAATGGGATATAATGCTCCAATAAATGGGTAAAAGGTACCTGAAGCAAAACATAAAGATGCCTGTTTGCTTATTCAAACTTAAGTTTTATGTAGTTTAAAATGGAATAATAGTTGGGGCTCTTTTAGTAAATCAGAACAGGTTTTAAATGGTGACTAAGGCAGAGACTGCTAGCTGATATTTACCATCCATTCTCTCCTCCTTTAATATTAGCATTCCTGAGTTTGTGCTGAGCATATGGCTGCCAGCTAGTGTGGTTTTCCAGCTTCCCTTGCAGATGGCTGCAACCAAAGAGTTTGTGAACAGAAGCCGTGTGTGGCACTTCCAGGGTCTGTCCTTGCAACAGGAATGGCTGTGTTCCCTGTTGACCCCTTCTTCCTTCTCCTGGCAGGAAAAGGATAAGAATGGAAGCTACCACTTGACCCATAGATGTTAACTTCATGCTGAGGACGGCAGAGCTGCTCTGCCAGTCTGGATCCCTTCCCTTTGGCATGTATCAGGAAAGAGAAACAAGCAATGACCACTCAAGGGCATCTTCTCAACTAGATGTTTATACTCACAAGATTTGACCCAGTTTACTCTTAAACACTTTCAGTATACTTTTAATTCTTATCCAAATTGTATGTGCATACAATTTGAAGGAAATGCTGTGTTTTTTAGCAGGGAAACGCCAGACATGCTTCTGCATTGAGAGGCGTCCTCACAACTAGCAGACCAGAGAGACTTACTTCCCTTGAACCCACCAAAGCAATGAACTCAGATGCAAGAAAAAGAGACTCACACAGGTGGCATGATAGCCTCCTGGCTTAGAAGCCCCACGTTCAAATAGGAATCAACATTTCTTGGGCATGCCTTCTAGGTCCCTAAAAGGGAGATACCCACTTGAAAGAGTCATCATAAAAAAAAATACCCACTTGAAAGAGCCATCACACCCAGGAAAGCCCAATGCCATGGTTTCCAATGAGTTAGTTCAGTCAAGAGGCAGTGTACAAATCAGGGGTCCTTGTTATACAAGCAATGTTGCCTGATATGTCACCTTTTTCAGCCTACTAGGGGAAGGAGCCAGAAAGTTAACCTGAGAGGATATGAACAGAGGTCATGAACAAGGTCAGTTTCCCAATGAAGAAGGAAAGGTGGTTGTTAACCCTTTACCCATCTTGCTTATTTTTGCTGTGTTTTGGCATCTCTTTGATAGAGCAGCTTTCTCAGACCTTAACTAATATGTGGATACACTGGCCTGATATGTTCTTTCTCACACTGCCATTAGAATCCTTATGAATAAATACACAAAGGTAGAAATGCATCCAAAACCACCATAATTCAAAAGATATCATTATGTAGGAGGAGGAGTACATTTCTGCAGATTGCAACACCGAGCAGCCTGAATTAAGAAACTCAATCCTGTATTATCTATACTATGTTCTCTAAAAAAAGAGTAGCCTGGGACTACAATTATACATACAAGTGCATTAATTCATTCCCAGTGCCTGCACACAGCTCAGGCTGCCAGCATTGCCCTGACCAAAAAACCACACTCTTGTTGTATGCTTTGAAAGAGGATGTGAGGTGCCAGCCAGGAACAGCATTGCTCAGACAAGGTGTTGCTTGTCTACAGGCTCAGGTTGTTGGAGCTGGACAGACAGTAGGGCCCACACTTTCTTCATATCTTCAAGATCCTTCCTCAGCATGCATCTCTGATTCCTGAGCCACGTCTATATCTAGGTCAGGACCATCAGCTGCTGATCTGCCACCTCCCTGAGGTTAGAGTCTTGGAAGGGAAAGAAACTGATGCAGGTTCTAGTCTACACTTGTGGGTTCCAGTTCTTCCCATGGGTTCCAGTGTCTTTGCTTTCACTTCACTTCCTGTTTGTCTTTCCTTCCCAAGTACCCGCCCTGCTGACTTCAGGTCCCAGCCCCAGATGTGAACCTGACACTAGACTGCATATCCAGCTCCCACAATTGCAGACGATCAAATCCTATCATAAGCCTCTTTCCTGGTAGGTCTGTTTCTCTGATCAAATCCTGCCAGATACAAGGTTGTAGGGCCCAGTAGATCCAATGGCATCCCCATACTGGATCAGAATGATGTACAAAATCTGTGGTAAGCCTTGACAGGAAGATTATGGTGGAGGGCCCCAAACATCAGAGCTAAAGACCATGGAAAATCCAGTCACAGCACTTCCTAGGAGATCACACTTCCCAACAATTGGGAATTTTCATTCTGAACGAGTAACTAACTGAATTAATACTCACGGATGTTTTCTTTAGAATGTATGGATCAGAGTGGTTCTTGTCACTATTAAACCTAATGATTTTGCTTTTCCTCCCTGTGACTTTTGGGCTTTTGGTTTAGAGGTCTGACTAGTGGAAAGAAGAATGATTCCACCAAGAGCACAACAATGGTTTCATAAACCAAAATCTGAGGTTGCTTCCTTTCCACTCTGGGCTCCTCATACCACTAAACCAAAGGCAGAAATGAGATTACAATGTGCCGGGGGTTATGGATGGTGATTATCAAGGGAAAATGAGATTACTGCTATATAATGGTACATAGGCAGCCATCGGTCCACACTTCTGTGTGAGTTAAGCGTGGATGGACATGCAGACACACAGCCTATCAAGCAGTGTATAGGCTGGAGGCCTGTCTGGGATGGTTTTGCAATTGATTTTCTTGAGTGTTTGCAATCTACCAGTTGTCTCATCTGCAGAGTCTTATATTTCTGTTTCGCCTAATTGCATCGTAGAAACTTGAGTACAATGTTAAATAGGATCCCTATTTCTTATCTTACTTGTGACTCTAAGGGGAGTACCCCATTGTTTCACCAGTAAGCATGATGGTGAACTCTGTCAGCATTGTCATCCGAAATAGTTGAGATGCCAACCATGTCTTATTACCTCTTCAGTTACCATTCTGGTTCAAGCTACCCTCATTTCTCACTTGGGTTTTTGCTATAATTCTCTAATTAATCTTCCTGCATCTACTCTTAGCTTTCCTAAATTCTACTCAACATAGCAACTAGAGTGATCCTATTTAAACAAAATTCAGATTATTTCAGCCTGCCACTCAGAACCCTCCAATGGCTTCCTAGCCCAGGCAGAGCAAAGGACAAATGTCCTTATAAGGATGTGGCAGACTTGGGGATCTTTCACTTGGATCTTCCCTCCAGGGAGGACTCACTGCCCTGCTGTGAGGAGTAGGTTGAGCTGACACCTCTGGTGATTGGCTCCTTCAAGGTCTACCTCAGCTATGTAGCCAATATCATGCTTTTCTGGGGTGGCCCTCAGTCAATGACTGAGCAAGAAGGCAGTGCAAGGGTATAGCCACCAATGCTCAAGACAAGGCTCTTTGGATGGTCAATTCTTGTTCTGGAGCTCCCCAGAGAGAGTTTGTCATTTGTTGGGTTACATAATGGCATGAAAACTTTCCCTACCCAGTCTTTTCACAGATATTACTCCCTAATAAGCCTTTGCACTCCTCATTCCATCTCAGCATCTGTTTCCTGAAGAGGACTCCCTACTGCCTCTGGCATGCCTCAATTTTTAACATTGCCCCCTTCTTACTCCTCAAATAGGGCAGTCCTGCCTTGGGACCTTGCCGCTTAGCATGCCCTCTGCCCGGGGTCACCTCCTGCAGGTGTCTGTGCAGCACATTTCACTACTGAGTGTGGGCTGGACCCTTCCCTGACTATCCTATTTACAATGGCATACAGACTATAACACATACACTCACCCTGTTCCACTTCCCTGCTTGACTTTTCTTTATAGCTTTTATCACCATTCAATACTACATGCTCTACTTGTTTATCTTGTCTATTTTCATTCTCCCCTCACTAGCATTTATAAGGGTGGAGGTTTTTGCCTGTCTTTTAGCATTTAGAAGAATGCCAGGCACCCAGACAAGCTACAACCAATGGAGGAATGCCTTCCACCCTGACTCTTCTCCACTCTGTTTCTTCTGATATTGTAGTAATTTGTATCATACTTTCTTCTCTGTTTGTTTCCTGACTGGTGCCACTTTCCGACTCACCTCTTCCTATTGTCTGGTCATCACCTCCTGACGTCTCTTCCTTGAGTTCCTACATTTCCATACTGATAATCTTCTTTTGCTCCTCTATTAAATTATTTTTTTAATTCATAGAGGGATGTTTAATCACTGTTTTTATCTGTTCCATGCCATCATCTTTCTGGGAGCTCTTCATTTGCTCTAAAGTTTTGTTCTTTTTCACTAGCTTTGCCCCTAGTATTTTTGTATGGACACATGTCTGCTTCCTTTCTTTTATTCATATCAGAAAGCACTGGCTGTCCTTGGGCCAGTTATCTGCAGAGGGTTTCTGAAGGATGTGGCAAGATGGGATGGGGAAGGGAGAGTGGGCTTAGATCAGGGTAAGATTCTCAACTTTGAAATTAGGAGCTCCCTACTTTCTTGCTACAGTATGAGACTGTTTCCTTCCAATAAAGCCCACCTTTGGTGGAGCCAAGACCTCATCTTCCTCTTTAAACCCAGTCAAGTTCTGGAAGGCTTCTACCACCATCCCTCCTCTCCTCAGCTGCTCTACCAGTGGCTGCCTCCAAGGAACATGCCCTTACCTTCCAGGGTAATCTCATCACCCTGGAAATGCATATGTTTTGCTGTGTTTCCACAGGCATGGAACCTCTGGGTACTTTCAATGCCTTTCTGTCCACCTCCCTCAGCATTCATGGCCTATTCTATCTTTGGCAGTTTCCAAGTCAGCATGATACCCTCTTTTAAGAAGGATATCTGAGACTCACTTTACTAGTGTCACTTATACCTTGTTACTCTTCCTAGCTATCCAAGCCAGCTCTAAATGGCTTACTGCATAGCTCTACTTGTCTCCAAGGCTGTTACTAGCAGTTCTGCATAATTTGAAATGTGTGATGATGATAAATGATAATGATGATGCTGATGAATGATGATGATTTTTATTATTTTAAGTCAGGGTCTTACTCTGTTGCTCAGGCCGAAGTGCAGTGCATGATCATGGCTCTTGCAGCCTCAATCTCCTGGGCTCAGGTGATCCTCCTAATTCAGGCTTCCAGCTTTTTAGCTGGGAGATCCAGATAATTTGTAAAATTTTTTGTAGAGACCAGGTCTTACTATATTGCCCAGGCTGATCTTGAACTCCTAGGCTCAAGCTATCCTCTGGCCTTAGCCTCCCACAGTACTAGGATTACAGGCATGAGACAGTGCACCCAGCCTGAAGTGTGTGATTATCTTTTTTAAAACCGAAAATGTATTTTTTATGGAAGGTCAATTTCTAGTTCCTTCAGAAATCACCACACTGTCTTCCAAAGAGGTTGTATTAGTTTGTACTCCCACCAGCAGTGTAGAAGTGTTCCTTTTTCTCCACATCCTCGCCAACATCTGCTGTTATTTGTTTTATTAATGATGGCCATTCTTTTTTTTTTTTTTTTTTTCTAGTTGGAGTCTCACTCTGTTGCCCA